GTACTAACACTGATTCTAAGCTTAATATAAATGGGAATTTTAGTTCCATGGGTCGGTCTCCATAAGTTTTTAGATTTAATGGAGGAACTTGAATTTGAAATCGAGATGAAGACATTAATCGCCTATTTGAAGGGTGTATACGCAGAAGTTCATTAATGTAGCAAGGAGCCAAGTTATTCAGAGCCCTAAAGGTTATTAAAAGTAGTTCATAAGTAGTAAGATGTTCAATGGGCAGCCAGTGAAGCTCCCTAAGTGATGGCGTGATGTAATAATACTTGGAGCCACCTTAAATATAGTGACGTGCACAAGCTATAATTTATATAAAAGGCTGCGAGGTAGACCATGTAATAATTAACAATTATTCCACGAGCGCACGTTGGATATGAGATGATAGATAGCCAACGAGGCGCGTAGCGCCGAGTTGGCTATAANAAAAAAAAAAAAAAATTCTTTTATCTAATTTACCAGAAAAAGTTTTGCAATTAGAAAGGAGAATTTGTTATTGGATCTGGGAAGTCAAAGGAAGCTTTCCGCGGCGCCATGAAGTTTATTTTTTATATCTTCACGTGCATGTAGCTAACCATTCTGTCAAATTGGTAGATAGGTGGGGCGTCTAATTAAAGGCATTACGTTTCGAGTACTCTTACATTACGGGTATGATGTAACTTACAGATGACAGACCATATGCTTTCCAAAAACAAATCGTTTTAAGGCATTGAAAGGCAATATATTTGATTACATGATACACTCTTAAACATGACGATATTCAACAGGGTATATTTAGACGTGATCAATATCATCGTTAAAGATATCATATGGAACTGATTTCATGAATCAATTTAGTAAACAATAAAAGAAAAAAATGGATTTTGTAGTCAAACCTAGCGAGAGTTTGCTTCGACATTTGATCTAGATAATTTGAAGGGTATCTCAGACTTCTTTATTTAATTTCTACCAACGTAAATGCTTCCACATTAGGTAAAAAGTAATTTGCTTGTTATCAAAAGGTTATTCTGTCGTTAAGTTGCGGGAAATGTATCCATTGTGCGCATTGCATGAAAACCGAAGCTTAAAAAATAACGGAGCGAGATAACGAGTTTCAATATTTAGTTTTATTATGCTTGTTCAAATGTCATTGAGTTCTAGAGTTACTTTTAAAAAGGAATTCTAAATGTCTTTGTATTGTACGAATTTAGGTTTTAGGTGATGTGTGTCGGTCCACTTTGTACTTTTTTGTGTCGAGTCGCAAGTCTGATATTAAGTGCTGCGTGAAATCCAACAAAAGCGTCTTTGTTCATACACAGTAAATTCCTGAGTTTTAATATAATGGCATCTCCTCTATTTCTTCTACCGATCATATTATTTTATAGTTTCCTTCAAATTGATTCTCGAACGAATGATCATGGCATGCAAAGCGCGTGATCTACCACAGTTATGGTCATGGCTTTCGACCATGGACAATAGCAAAGACAAAACAAGAAAAAACGTTTCCCGATAATGTACATTTTTAACCTCCCTTGCCAAGTGGTTTAAAATATTGAACACGCCTCCTGCCTCTAATTTGCCATCCGATGACATACTTTATGAGATCTATCTAAAGAGGTCATCAAATAACTCGCGTGTAATGGTTGTGGTTGCATAAAGAATTTCAACTTTATCAGAGTTCACATCGCAAAATCGCCTTATCATCAATAGATGTTTTTACTGAAATATTGCTGAGAATCTAGAATTAACGCAAACTATATATTGAAAGTGCTTTCATCTTACGCGATGCAATATTTTTTTTTATGCGCACTGTTATCGTCGCTCATCAACTCTCCCCCACCCCCTTCGATTTTCTTCACCATCCTATGATCCCAAAAGCTGCATTGGGACTAAAAGTGATTCACGATCTTCGATAACAGCCAAACCGACTTTCCTCTCGTTATGACCCTTACTTTGAAGAACGAAAGCTCTGAGATGTTTTAACTTTCAAGGGTTGCACTTGCAGTTATATAGCGGAATTTAAAATAAGCGGGGAATCCCCGACTTACCACGTATTTTACGCGATTTTGATTGGTAGATCGGTATGTTATTTCATGCTTACAAAAATAGAATGCCCGGATTGGGGAATACATGATTCTTTAGCCAAGCGCGTCCAGTGATTGGTCAAAAACGAATCGCTCCGATTTCATGCAATGTCATCAAAATATGCGTCAGTTACCGCGTGTTCGTCTGGTTTTGTAATCGACCATTTGTTGGATCAGTGAAGGTAGGGTTTTTATGTTTTACATGTACAGCTGAAATAACTGTGAGATTTGTTTCCTCTCAATTATTTGCTGTAGTCGATATCGTAATAATGGAGTCATGTCGGTGTGCTGTGATTAGTTATTGAGCTTTTAACCTCGGTAAACAAACCCATGGCGCCTTCGCGACGTAAATCTTCCTCGCTTTGAAGTCTTCAACGGCGGATTTCCTTTTTCAAACGTTCGATTCAAACTGAAGGAATCTTACAGGAAAGGCGTAGATTTGGCTAGAACGCACGTCAAGTAACGGGAAGAGACGCAATCAGGAATTGTTTTGGTTGGATATTGAATGAAAGTGTGCCAGGGTCATGTTACATTTATCGGAAGCTTCCGATACTTTCATTATCATTTTACAAACTGCGAGCGTTTCGATCTGCCGATACTGATTCATTTTTCGGTGGTAGTTACTCCGAGTCGATTTTCATCCATGTTGTGGAACGCAATATCACTATGTTTACACCCGGTAGTTTGACTTATCGGAACTAAAGGTGCTTTGCCAAACAGGAAATTCAAACCGATAAGAATAATTTATGAAGTGATTGTGAGCGGCACGTTCCTATAAACCAGGTTTTGCAAAGAGTTTTTCAATTTTCGATTTTTGAATAGTTAAGCATTCTTCTTTGGTTCTATATTTCTTTTTTTTTTACGATCGATTTTTGTTGCTTGGTTAATGAGAAGTCGTTCCTTCGCGAGTGCATGTTTATTGCACTACGAAAACGTCATGATGAAAGTTTCTGAAGATCTAGTGCTCCAAGAGAACGTTAGATCCGTTGATGATGTTCTCCTTTCTTTTTTAATTTCTGTTTAGAGTGGAGATTAACTTTGGTTCCGTGAAAAGAGGCCTTGTTGGCGATCTGGCATCACGCACTGTGCAAAACAAAATGGTGGATAATGTTGAACCCACGATTAACACTTTTCTGCAGGCCAAACAATATAAAAGCCTTCTCGATGATGTGCGAGAGGAGAATACCTCATGGTAAGTACGTTAGCTTTGTGTAGAACGCACCGAGTGATTTAAGCCAAATCGAATATTTGTGCCTAAGGGAATTGAGTGAAATATCATAAATTATGTTCATCGGCCGGGAGCTTCACTTCGATCGATGATTCACTCACTAAAGTGTATCTGCCTTTTCGTTATAATTATATATTCTTTTCGTAGTATTTTATAAATCAAGAAATTTTTATTTTAATTTTATTGATGCTTGGAAGTGGATTTGCTTAGTCAATCAGCGTATTAGATGTTTACTACTTTTGTCTCTTTTTGGCATGTTACGATTAGGATTATTGCTCTGGCTTGACATTGAGTCACGCCCTGTTTTTAACGTTTTGTTTCCTGTTGCAATATCATTGCATCGATGCTTTGTAACTGTCATCAAGAGGCAAAACATGCACACGGCTGATGCCTTGCTTGCATCCCTTGTCAGCGGATCGTTTTACCTCTCTTTTTCCTCTAAGGCGACGAATGTATCGTCAACGAGATTGCTGTACATAGTGGCTATTGTACATGTCAAAGTTGACATTGTAGCGTATTCGAATATTTGATCGTGTGGATGAAAGTCACGCTTTCTGTGGATTTTCTCTGTATTCTGTCACGTGAACATCATACGCGGGTCCAACTTTTGCATACATCTTGTGAGTGCTGTAGATCACGTAAAGTTAAAATCCAGCAGCAAATTATTTCATCAGAAAGGTGAACTTGACAAATTAATGCGGTTGGGAGTTCCTTGCTGAAAATCGTTAGATGGACCGCAGGATCAAATCTGAAAAACCCAGGTTAGATTCATTATCTCTAGGAAGAGGAACTGTTAGGGAAATGCTTTGTATGATTGTTTGTTCCATCTGTGACAAACAAATTCAAAACAAAGGCACAGTTGTGTGTAATTGATGGGTTATCTTAGTCACAAGATAGATATGATCAGAGGAAAGATCTTACCTGGTAAATAGTTGAAAAATAAACTATTGCTACGTGCATCCATCACTCTGTTTTTACTGTTCAAAAACTATTGTTAGAGATTTTCAGAAAAACTGTTTTTAAGGTTGGGGGGATTAAGTTTTTTGGTAAGGAATTTCTGAAAATTCTCCAACCCACATTTTTAATGATTTGAAGCCAAAACATGCAGCGACAGGGTAAGAATTGTATTGAAATGCTTTCTTTTTTTCTAGATTCAAGAACAATATGACATTTTATTGAAATCATGGGTTGGACATTAACACTTGTGGTTGCAAAACAACATGATTTCATTACCAGAAATAACAATTGGCATAGTTACAGCTCGAATTACCGATTTTGGTTATGCTTTGATTTAACTCATGAAATAAGGAAGATAGTATTTTCTATGATGAAAACTTAATCAATTGCAAAATGGTATTTTGTAATACACTTTTATTACATTTTCACTTTTCTGCCCACACCTGTGGCCACAAAATGGTTCCAAATTTGGTTACAAAGTACAGCGTGGCAGCCCCCCTGTAGCATTTGACCCTTACTCTTTCAATATCTGATCAACTGTTTTACCTTTGTGTGGAATTGTTTCCCCAGCAAATTAGGAAAGAGAATTTGGTGTTAAAGATCATGCTACTGAGATATAGCTTTTTGGCAAGAAGGGGTTTTGTTATTTATCATCCCTTTGCTGAGTGTTGTTTGAAACTTTAGGAGAAGTTACTTTTCTATCACCCCAACTAACAGGAGCAGAGGGTAAGAAAATAGTTTATCCTGTTTGACTCCTTGTATAGCAGTTTAACTCTTAGACTCCCAAGATGTGATTGCCAAGAGTGTTTTTGAGATTATTTTAAAGAGGTGTATGTATATATGTATCATAGCTTTTTGGTTATAAGGCATACTTAGTCAAGTTCCCAAACTGAAAATTACATGAAAATACTCGGTTATAAGACGCACCACTACAGTATATCAAGTGTAAAACTCAGTTTTACTTAGTCTTGTTCTCTCTTAATTTTGACTTTAAGTTCTGCCACGCATAAAAATCAGCAAGTATTGTTATGCAAGCTCATTGATTGACTGACATGCCACTTCTGCTGTGAAAATCGAGCTTGTCAGTGTTAGAAGGCTTAATAGCGATGACTTTGACAAACTAACCATGCCGCAGAACAATACTTGTCAAACTAGTTTGAACTTGCCTGCGACCACTGGCAAAATGCATCATCAGCAACTTTTCTTTAGTTATAATTTGAAGTACTTGTCGTGCAAATTCCTACAACTAGTTGCAAGGTACTATTACATCAAAGAGTTTTGTTATATGACTTGTTTTGAGGCATTTATCTAAAATATCAGAGATCTTTTATTGTTGTAAACCAAATGGGTGACAAATCATATGTAGGTGTAACTTGAAGGGTTTTAAAATCTGTGTTTGTGAATTGCTTCATTCTCTATAAGTGTTTTGAGGATAACCAAATTGAAGTTGTTTGTTTTTTTCATTATTGTGTAATTTTTTTTTAGAACAAAAAAACTGCGGTCAACTGCAGGAAGTTGTCGTTTTTCTCTAAAAAGTCAGGAAGTTTATCAAATAGCCCAAGGTTAATGACAATTTTTAGTGTCATTGTGTTATCTGTATTTTATATGTGTTTAATGTCACATTTTCAAAAAAAAAATTTTACCAATTGAGTTGTTGTTTATTCAAACATGCTTTTACAAGGGACATGTTACAGAAGAGTCAAATCAAGAAAGTCAAAATGGGGTGTTTAGTGCTACAACAGGATTAAAAGTTGTTTTCTTGCCAAAATCCTGCAGGTCACCTGTTGTTAAATAGATTAAATTTCTTTTGTTGTCAGTTTTAGCAGTACTATTACATAAGAGACAACAAAAGTGTCAGATAGTGATGAGACAATCCAGCATTCATCAGATAAGCTTCTTTGTTGTTACAAGTCAAACAACTAGCAACTGAAGGTCAACAGTGGTAGATATCAGGTTTCTATTGTCTTTAATTGTTTTTCCATTATGTTAGTGGCTGCAGAGACAATGGCTTTTGTGCTTCTCATGTTAAATTTGGCGTGAGAACAATAGTTTGCAGAGGTGACGAGTTGCACGACACATATTTAAATGACAAGCCGGTGGCTTTTAGCTTAGTCAGCTTGGAAAATTATTCAGTTTCACATGTTAAAGTGTATTTGAAACTTTGGATCAGTTCAGAAGTTAAAACAAAGTGAAGATGTCGTGTACTCTGGATTCAGGCTTTCCAAAAATGATGCACTGGGACAAAGACTTATGCCACAGGTAGAGCAGTAGATCATATCATGTGGACTTATGGTAGCTGTAGACAATATTGTTTGCCTTTTCACAACTGTATATAAGCTTCGAGTTTAGTGTGGTATACAAGCTAAAAACATGGCCTACTAATAGCTTGAAATTTTTACGGTCCAAGGCTTCTCATTACCTACAGTATCCCAAGATATCATTTGATTGCATGTGGCAAATGTTTGTTGTATTATTTCGTTTAAGATAACACAGCACTATAATCAGTTAAAAAAAAAAAGCATATCAAACTGGTTCCAAGTCATTTTAACATGAAAATACAACATGGGTGATGTTAGTTAGTCAGCACTGTTGAACAATATTGGCTCTAGGTGAACTTTTGATCGAAGGTTAACAAGAAATTTTCAAACGCATGAATTTTAACAAGGATGAATATTCAGGAGTAAGCCAAATTAGAGTTTATAGTGTCCTTAGAGTAAAATGGCCTTTGTTGTTGTTGTGTAACATGACAAACCCTTTGCTTGCTTTCGTTTTCAGTTTTCTGTCTCCACTGGGAACAGGGGAAGGTAAGAAATACAAAATCTGAAGACTTGTTTGTTTTGTTTGCTGGAATATGTTGCGATTAGCTAACAGTGATCTGCTTTGAAAGTTGGCATGAAACCAAAATGAAAATATTGTCTTCAGTAATGTCAGTGGTAAATGACCATATTTGCAGAGTAAAAAGTTGCTGTGATTTGTATCTAGTGAAGAAATATGTTTTTTTATGTTTTGTTTTGATGAAACGGAATTGAAAGAAATTTTTCTTGTGTGAGTGACTCATCTGAAAGAGGATATCCAGATTATTGTTGTGTTTGTGTATTCCGGATATTGGATGATTTGGTAATATGAGATAACATGGCACATACACAAGAAAACAAAGCCGTGTACCTTTGACCTCTTTGCAGATGTCTCTAGATGTTAATCTTTTCATCTAACTAGTGTATTGTTCACAAGTAATTTCCCACAAGTCTAAGGAAGGAAATAGGATTGAGCTGAATGCAAAGATTTCATGAAATATTACATTCCCAACTGTAAGATATTGCTTAAGATAAAATCCGACTCCTTGTCTTGCCATTAGATTTAGAGTTGTGGTGATCAAATTTAGAGAATAAAATACAGATTTGTGCTGAAGCCAACAGCCAAAAGTTATTCTTAGGGAAATCAAAGGAAATTTAAGTATTTTTATTGATTTGTGTGTTCTTTTTTTTTTTCTCATTTCAGATTCTCAAGACAATTTTTTGCCAAGCGATATGAGACCATATGGGCAGTCATTCCCGGTACGCTGAGGAGTTATTGTGTAATTTTGTAATATGTTCTTTCCACACAAGTGTTGTGTTACCCTTACATGTAGGATTTTTCCCATTGTTCTTATTTTTGTTTGTGTTTCGCCAAAGTGAATTCTTATTGTTTTGAGGAGAATGTAACTTACCATTATATATCATTACTTGATTCTTGACGTAGTCAGCTACTGCCTCTTGCAAAAGTGGAGCTGAAAGTGTTTGTGATGACAAAGGAAATTAGATCTAATTAACGGAGTATTTGTTTGGCAAGTGATGTGAATCTACTCTAAGTCTGATATTACATTAGTTCAAGTTCACGGGGTTTCCACTTTTTCACCTTTTTTTTTCTCAGAGTGTAGATTTAAACTACATGTAACATTGTGTGCTTTACAGTTTAATTCCCTTCCATTAATCATATATAGCCATAGTTATGACCAGGAAAGAAAGAAGTTGTCTTGCTAAGGGATTGAGCAGTAGCCCCAAACTGTAAAACCATTAAAGTCCTTTCTCTTTGAACAAGAAGGCAACAACATCTTAATTAGACACGAGTTGATGACTTCACCCTTGGAAGCCAGCATTCAGTACTTCAGGTACTCTCAACTGGTAGTAACATTTCATGACTAAATGTTGTGTTTGAAATTTCTATTTCCACCACAGTTCATACCAAGTTCTCAGGCACCAGTGGATTTGCCAACATCTACTAGCCCCAATCCCCCAGCTTATCCACACAACATTCCATGCTCTCCTGGCCTTGTGTCAGTGCACCGCAGCTCATCTTCCATCTCACCAATAAACACTGCACCTTATGAGACTGTAAGTGTATTCTTGGTTTAAAATGATTCTACAGTTACTGAACATTGCATATCTTTTTGAGCAACTGTTCTTTTAAGTGCCAAAGGGTACAACCTATAATATTGCATTATGCTCTATCTCTCTTTTTTTTTTTTTTACACTTTACACCCAAACATTAGTATTCATATTCTCCAAGCTGTTCTTATTACATTTCCTATGGTACTGACACAGAGGATTTTGTTTGACAGTGAGGACAATTGGAGAATCTTTTCCTTTATTATCATAACCTTTTTCTTTGTGTCAAGGATGAGTTTTAAGGATATATTTGAAGCTAGTCACTGTGAGGGGCGAAAGGATTAATATCTTAGTTTAGAGCCAAAATTTTTTTTAACTGGTTTTCTCTATTATCTGTTGATCAAATGGTTACTACAAATTTTGGGATATTAATTCTTTAATTCCCAGAAGTGATTAACCTGTAACTTCTCCATATAATATCCATAATTATATGATCCAGCAAACAGGTAATGAAAATACTTAAACTTATCAGGTAGAAGTTGTTACCTTGATTGAACACCAAATTCTCATAACCAATTTACAACAAAAATTTAATGTGTAGCAGCTAGAGGGGAGAATTCATAATTAGATCTTGGGGGTCAAAGAGCTAACAGAGATACATGTACTTTACTCTGCAGTCCAGTACATACAGTGATGCTTCAACCCCTGGGACCCCAGCAGCATCATCTCCCAACATGGTGCCTAACTACATGTACCAACCTCAGCCTCAATCTCGCTTACCACAAATTCCCAGCACCACAGAATACCCAGGAGATTTGAACTTCCAGATATCTTTTGGCCCTATTACTGAATCAGCCTCTAAGTCCGCCACATGGACTTATTCGGATGTCTGCAAGAAGCTGTATGTGAATCTTAACAGCTACTGTCCCATCAAGTTCAAGACATCTCAGGCCCCACCACACAAAACATACTTGAGAGCTGTTGCGGTGTTCAAAGGCTCCACCAATTTGCATGATGTGGTAAAGAGGTGCCCAAATCATATGGAAAATTCCAATGATGGTATATTAGATCTTCTTTTGACCTTCAGAACCATCCCTTATCCTTAAGCCTCAAGCAGTCTACATAATGAAAAACTACCCACAGTTCTAACATCTAACGTAGTTCATGTTGGTATGAGTAAAGTAATTGATGATCACAAGGTTAGGACAAATGTGTGATTCTCATTTTATACCACACACCAGGCTAAATGCTGTGAGAACAACTATCAATTGAATCAATAACGATGATTTTTTTTTTTTTATTCTTTGGCATGACAGTTCCTTTAGCAAACTTTACAAAATACTTAAATTGATATTGGTTGCCCAATCTTTTTACAGCGGATAATTTATGCAATCAACTCAGTAGATAGAACTAAATCATCCTGTAATACCCCCCCTCTGAAGCAGCAGCACAATTCTGTTAGAAACTGACCCCTTTCAATAAACTTTTATTTTTCATTTGTTTCAAGCAAAACTAATGATATTTTGTTTCTTTCTTCATTTAGGCTCTGCTCCAAACAACCACTTCATGCGCAGTAACAATCCTGCAGCTGGTTATCACACTTGCCCGGAGTCATCTAGACACTCCATAATTATTCCTTACAGTGGCCCACAAGGTATTACCGGTTGAAAATGGTGATTGTACTAGCACACCCATAGTCTATTGGTGTAATCATTGTTTTTTTTTTTTTTAGAAAGTACACAAAGACTGGGACATGTTCATGTAATTTAGTAATTTCGGAAAGTCTCTTACAAAAAAACTTCTTGGTTGGAAAATAATACATGTTTGCAACATGTATGACTGCTTCTTTCTGTTGCAGTCATTGATGTACAAACCAAGGCTAGCTTGAATGTTTTGACCAGAACGGTTCACAACTTTTTTCTGTAAGGACACACTTTTGAACCATAATTATCCTAAGCATGCAAAAAGCAAATAGTTTATATATGTGGCCCTGTTTGGTTGTGATCTACTCTTGAAGTGCTTCCACATGTTGGGGTGTGTCTGGTCAGCAATAGAGTAGGAAAACAAGTTACAATATGAACTGCTGCATGGAAAGGAAGCAGTATTGCTTGGGGCAGATGAGTGATCTGGTATAACATACATGTATCATTTCGCTTAACATTACGTAGGTACTTTATGAACTTCAGTATTGTAAATACAACACACTTGTATTACATTTCAGTTGGTACAGAGTATGTTACGGAGATGTTTGCCTTCATGTGCTTCTCAAGCTGTGCATCAGGGCCAAGCAGACGGCCAGTTGAAGTTATTTTTACATTGGAGAGGGAGGGACAAACTCTTGGCAGACGTGTGGTGGAAATCAGGGTGTGTGCCTGTCCAGGGAGGGACAGAAAATCTGATGAAAGGATTGCTTGTGGTGAGCCTAGCTCATCGCAGGGAGCCAAACGCACAAGGAAGGGTACGTATAAAGCAATTTTTCTTTTGTAACTTTGACTATTGTAATGATACGGCCAATGGATTTTAGCTCTTTACAATGTGACTCCTTTGATGTAAGGAAGATGTTGCTCTTAAGACTTACAAGTAACAATCAGAATATCTCACGAAAGAGATACTCTGGTGTACCAAAGTTATGAAATTTTTGTGTCTCGTTAGGATTGTTGTTCACATACCAATTTTTGCTTACATGTTGACCAGAAAATTTTGAATTGCTTCAGGGTCAAAGGGTCCTTTGTCGAAAAGGAGGAGAACCAGCTTCAGATCTCACGAGGAGGAATATTCTGTTTCTGTAAGTGGAACTTTCAAATAAAAGTTAGTTCATCCTTAGGGGAAGAAAACGTACATTTGGATTCTATCATAACAGAAGTCTAAGGTCCCTGCTTGACAACCAGCTAACCAGATGAACTTTTTAGACAGTTTAACGAGAAATACGTGTGAGTCAGTGTTGTCAGAAACATTTTAACTAGCAGCTACGTACGTTTATAAGAAGAAAAACGATGAAAATTTTACATAATATCTTTACTCACTCTCAAATGTTTTTGAAGTGACATAGCCAGTCATTGGAGTGTTTTAAACACTCTAACTCCCAAGATTTACCCGTTTGCTCGAGAATTTGTTGATATAATGGGGAGAAGTTACATGTTAATCACAGCCTCGACTAACTTCTCCACCCGTACTTACTGTAAGTATTAACTGCAAAGACAAATCGCAAGGCCAGCTCGACAAACGTAGATGAACCGCCGTAATTTGCAATGGACCATCTCAAGCAGCCATCTGGTGGTGAAATTTTGGCTTTCTCTTGTCTCAGTTGTTTCTCTAATGCATTTCTTTTCTCCTTTCAGACAAGGAACTATCATGTCTACGAGATTCTGCAAGACATGAAAGATAACCTTGATGAGAAATTTGAAAGTTGGAATATTCAAAGCCCAGAGCACTCTACGTAAGTCACTGAAGACCTATTTTATATTTGCCAAACGGAATTCCCATCACCGAATATTGGTCCTTCTTGGAACGAAAATAGCTACTAGAACTTAAAAATTCATTGTATGTCGAGAGGGAAATTCTTTGTCTGAGGTAATAGAAAGGACAGGCTGTTTTTGATTGAAGTTTCTAACAAAATTGGATCCAGTTTTGAAACTGAACGTAAAGCGACAGATAATAAACTAGTTTATTTTGATAGACGTCTTTTCTTTGGTCGATTACTACGCAACGAATTTTATTTGGTTTTTAAAAAATGACTATGTCAAGGATTTTTCGTTTCGACATTTTGAACTGTGTTTACAGCGTTTCAAGTACAGTGTCCTTCTTTTCGCTGTTGTTATCACACGCAACAAAGCTTATGGAGTGACTTGTGGAATGATTGGTGTCGATTTAGGATCGAATTTAAAAAAATGGTTCGTTTTCGTCATCAACGTTTACAATAGGGAAGAAAAATCGAAAATAACGCTTACGATTCTAATTTCGGTCTTCGCTTAACGTAGCGCTCGAATGCTGTGCAAAAAAAGCTGTAGAGAAATTATAAGTGAGCCAAGTTTTGAACATAAAGGGTTGTTAAAAAGATGGTGAATCATATTCTTAATCGTCGAATTCGAAAACATGTCGGACACTCGGGGCTAACGAAGAAAAATTTAACTCCCCAACCGGTTTCTAATGACAGTAAGTTCCGATTTTGCGGATTTTATTGTAAGGGAGAGTCTAGCAGCTGATATTTTTGGGTCTTAGAGAGACGAAATTTTTCAGCTTTCCTCTTAAAAAATTGTTTGAGATTCTCCTTTTCCTCGCCTAGTTCATTCACTGTGTAAATTTGACTGTATGAAATAAGAGAAATGGAAATGTTTGAAAAATTGGTTTATGTCGCTTTGGACAGTGCGTCAAAGTTTTTAAGGAACGTGAAACATTAGCTTGATGAGACCTTTCTTTAAGCGGAGCAAAGAATGGTTGTCATTAGATCGTCGAAGATTCCCCTGTAAACTTTCTTCAAGGAGAAAGTACTTTTACGGTGTTAAATCACGTTTTCTTTCCCAAAAAGGGACTTCTCCCAATGTATTTCGCAATGGCAAGTTTTTTATTTACCCTGTGGGCAAAATTCTATTGTCCCGCCGCGAACGAAGTTTTAAATTTCGCTTTTCAATAGGGAGAAAACTATATCGCGATAAATTGCTGTCTGGCAGTTTTTCAGCTGCACTTTAGCCCTTTTCCTGTGTAAGCTCTCGACCTCAAATCGGAAACAATGGCTTTTATTGTATCTTCTGCTTCAAGGTCAAGTGGTACGTTAGTCAGTTCATTATGATTTCAAAACCTGAGCACGCGTTCCAACAGGTGATATGTCGACATCCTACAAAGTTAAATTTAGCCTTAGGTACTTCGTTGTCAAATTGACAGTCGGAAAAGTCCGTTTACCTTGAAACACTCGCAAAGTACGTCTCGACATGTTATTAATATGTGATCATTTGTCACTTATGCGAGACTTAATGTAAAGTGACAAAGATCTGTCTCGGCAAGAATTTTTCTTTTGTGCTGTTTTTATGATTTCGGTTTTACGTTTAAAAACTGGCCGTGCATGTGTGTGAAGGAATTAAATACCATTTTGTGTTCTTTTCAGGGTTTTGAGTACGTCTGAAGACGAGGGTGAACAGCCTTCGACGTCTGGCAGTCCTGGAGCTTTGTACAAGAGAGTGGGTCAATCATCCATGTGAACAGCTGGAAAGATTCTAGCAGAGCTCCGTTGCAGTTCGTTCATGTAGATCTGCGAGCTCGATAAACCATTCTCAGTAACTGTTAAATGTGATTTTTGTTTTGGTCGGTTTTTTTTTTTTCTATGGTTTCTTTTCTCAGCTGCCGAACCATGGGTGAAGCAGAGTGTGTTATTACTTCGAATTTCGTTTAATTTACTTCTTTTTGGTTAACAGTAGAGAGGTCACCCTTGCTTTTTGGTAGCTGTTTATCAGTTTATAGTGCTGTTTTTCAAAGCTTTATTCATCCTATTCTGTGTGCGTTGTTTAAGTACTGAATTTATTCTTTTAATTTACATATTGGTTAAAAAATTTAGCCTTCTCCATTTCAGAGGTTGTGTGAACGCACCTCAGGGGGATAATTTTTTGCTCGCGTATTGTTAAGTGAAGGAAGCTTCGCTTGTAACTTTGACTCTGATTTATTCGGAAAAATCCTATGAAAAAAGGTTTATTGGTAGGCTTTGGTTTTACAGAGCGATCTCCACTACTAAACGCAAAGCGTGAGAAAATTCAATCACATTTAGTGATCAGCTCAATTAATTTATATGCAAGTGTCTTCGTTTTGGAAGACAGATCGAATTTGGTTTTACAAATGTCTGATTCTACTTCAATTATGCGTTTTTGTGGACGCAAAACTTATAAAATGACGCATTTCCGAACGTTAATGGCACTGCTATTTTTGAATGCCTTTTTTCTATCATCCACTTTGTAATATCATCAAATTTTTTTGTTGTACATAAATGCTGTGAATTTCTCACTCAAAATGGCGGCCAAGGTTTGGGCCAAACTTCACGTATTGAAAGAAAAATATTGAGAAAAAAGAGTAAGTAAAATTTATTTCGTTGGTAAGGCTAAGTTATTAGGATTTTTTTTCGATGGTTACAAGTTTTTGTCATAGTTGAATTTTGTTAAATATGGGGCGACGCCCCCAAATCGTGTCCATTTTGGATTGATTTTGCAATCAGAGCACTTCCTTTCGCTTTTTGTGAAAAGTTCGTTCATGAAGCTCGTTGTGTTAGTCATCGCTTTGAATTTATCGCTCGTTCAACCTCAACTTTGGCCGCCATCTTGCAGAAGTACTGTTATGTCTAATTCGTTTCTGCAAAGGATTTATTTTGTTTACATCAGATAGGTAACTATACAAAGCTGGCTTTCAAAGTAATATATATATATATATATATATACACATTTTGTTTTTGATTGCTTCTAAATTTTAGCTCCTTCACTTATTGACGAGGCGATGGTTTAAGGTCTCGGTATCTCTTGCAAAATCAGTTGTGTTGGCTTTGAAACGAAAACCACTTAATACCTTTATGGGGTTTCGTTATTCTTTTTAAAATGCGTTTTCGTATGGAATTACTTTTATTCTCGTTTTAAAGATGATCAGTGAGTGAAGGAGGTAAATCGTTAATGGTAAGAAATGCTATCTTTTTATTGATTCTACAGTTCTCGAGGGATAAGGAGTTTAACGTTAGGTTGAGCAGGTTACTGTTCCATAAGATCAGATCTATTTTAAACGTTGTCTTAGTTTTTTTTCGAGAGACTTGTGGGATTTTCTCGCCTTGTTTGTCGTCTTTCGACAAACAAACGTTCTTGTAGTTTGCAATCATTTTAGCTTCACACAACTTGCCTGGAAGTCGTTCCATACGCTCGCTCGCTGACGTGGGGTTTGCAATGGGTTTGTGATCGAGGTGTCATTTTATAGAGAAATGAATTAAAATTGAAATCTTAAAACCTACAGTTCTGATCTCTGACTTGTTCATCATTTACTAAAGCAGTGCTTTCCGCAAATAACGAACGAAGAATGAAGATTAAAGCAAGCCAGTTAACGGGCGAGTCGCAGATGTTTCTTTTTTATGTCGCAATTTCTGCGATGGTTAACTCACTCAATATGACTCCAGATAGATCTCTCGAATCTTTCTTGGGACTTTTACTCGGTTTCAGACGTTAAACGAATCAACTGAACGTGTCTGTACACGTTTGCAGCAAAGCCGTATCGTGTCAAATGTGACATGAAATGTTCATATTTGGCTTTGAACATTGAAGGAAAAGGCAGTTATTTGTCATTATGTACCCATGGAGATACGCAACCTTGACATGTTTGTAGGATTGGAGTCTACCTCTAAATTTATTTCCCCGATTAGCTGTTGGTTTTTAATCGATCTCTCATCCTAGCGGAAAGCTCTATTTTTGTGCGGTTGTTTTTCATTTATCTACGCAAGTCTTCAATTCTTTGTTATTGTTATTGTTTTCGATGAAGATTAATTAGTGTAATCCTTCATAAAGGTTTAAGAGTATTTGAAAGTAGCCGTAGATAATCGTATATGGCATGACCTCGTCTCAGGAAAACATACGGCGAAAATCTCTTCCGAGCTTATAATAAACGATACCCTTGTACTGATGGCAGATGGATAAGGCAGGGCTGGGGACAGAGGGGTGGGGGAGGAGGACATTAGGGCAGGGCTGGGGACGGAGGGGGGTGGGGGAGGAGGACATTCCCTCATACCAGTAGGAATGTATGCGTAAGCCTGAGCTCATGATATAGACATTTCACGGAACAGAGCGCGGAGGCTGCGGCAGAACACTCTCCGATCCCACCCCACCCCTCCGGGATCTCCCTTTATTGCCCCTTACCCTCCTGGTAGAAAACTTTTTGGAGTAGGTGACTTTACCGGAAACTGTAACTGAAGGACTTCGGGGAAAATTGCTCAGCCTTAAGCGTTAGTGGGCGTGAAGGAGATAGGTGAAGGTGAAAGCGAAGGTTATGTTAACACCAAGGTGTTGTTGATTAGCTAAAAAAAATTGACGAACCTTCTAGCGTTCAAGAATACTTGCAAATTTCATTGCCTTTTAAGGCCCCGTCCCTGGACGTCGCTCAGTATTAAACATTGAAAAAGTATCCCCTTTATCCTATAATCAGTCAGATAAATTTAGTTGTTTACAATGATGTTTCCGACTGTTAATGCAAACGCCGTCTGGACCAAATTGAAATGTGCCAAATTACTTGATACTCTTTGGAAAATCTCTACGACGGATTATGTTTAATTAGAGTCGTACCCGTTGGCGCTTTTCCAAAGAGGTTGTCCCCAATTAATTTCTACACGCAAAGCGAACAAACGGCAATTGTTTCTTCAGTTGTTGTTTGACGCTGAAGATCACGAGAGATATGAATGCCAAATTTTGTTCAAGGAGTGAGATAGATACAATGATGAAGTGGGGACATCTTAGAGCAAGCTTAATTTTTCGAGTTAGTCGCCAGAAATCCTTTGCTACCTTCTCTATCGTACACTTTTTAAGCTCATTGTCAGTCCATTTCTCCATCTTTGATGTTTGTTACTCGTAAAAACTATTATTATGATATATATTATGTTCTAATGTCTTCGGCGAGCAAAATTGACAACAAAAACACATTGTGAAATTTCGTGATAAACAATTGGAGGGGAGGTAAAGCTTGAAAACTCCTCCAGTTGCCCTTGGAAAAAGTCCAGTGTTATCATTTTATTCAATCTAGAAGAAAAATAAGACCAATAAGAAACGACAATTCAAATGGGTGTCTAATTATAGAATTTCAAGAGCTTCACTTCACCACTGGCTTTGGGATAAGTCCAGAAAACTCAACCATCTTCTTAAACAATTAGATGCAAAACTGATTAGAGCACCAATTATAACTTACTTTCATATAAATCAAGTTATGAAATACTTTTATTTGTTTCTTCGTAGAAGTTAAAATAACGATCTCCATCCGTTACTTAAATACATTTTTCGTAAACTTGATTGTCTATAAAATTACAAAAACGAAATTAAGTACTTCCCATAGGTGTGTTGCCCATAAACATGCCCAAATTCCCAATTCGTTAGGCTATTCAATGATAATATTTAAGATCAAAATAACCCTTGTTGAGATAAATTTTTCTTCAGAAGTTTATGAGTTCTAGAGGCTTTTGCAAACTTGATTGGTCCTTGCTTTATTAATTTTAAATTCACGAACGGTCGTAATCAATGGAAACGTTCCAAGATGACAATTTCTGCAAGCTTTTTCCGTATAATTTTGGAATCCAAGAACCTTTCTGAAGACTGACACCATTTTCAAAATTATGTAACAGGTTTTAGAATAGTCACGGAAAATGTTGTTACCAGTCGAACGCAACGGCTTCTTAAAATGACCTCAGTAGAATTGATTACTACAACCTAAAGGATCCATTTATTTTTACAAAAATCGAGATCACGGTTCCTTAGAGAGTTATGCTGAGGTTTATTTTTCTATGCTGAAGTTTCAGAGTTGAAACTTTGGTATTGTTAATAAATCAAAGAAAGTATTTGCAACGTTCCAGATTTGCAAGGTTCACGTCGTAAAGAGGTATCTCCATTTAGGTACAAACATGTGGGCGTCAAGATGCTTTTTTCCACGACTTGGGCAATCTCTTCTTTCTCTACACCCGTCGCAATAGGACTTTCAGTTGAAGCTGAAGATATTAGTTGAATTATTCACTCCACTCCCGTTGAGTCTAGGGAGAAATTTCTCATGATGGCATCCACTGCACTGGTAGAACGAGTTCTCCTGGATTTTTAAAAAGAAATCGAAGGATAAAGTAATGGAGAGAACGAAGACTTTGATAGCAAATTAAACCACTCCAGAAAGGTATTCCGTATCATACAACATCAATACATTACATGGCAAACACGTAACGAGATTTAACAAAGCTATCAGCCGAGTGGGCTTTATCTTGATAATACTTCAAATCAGGTCTGTTGAGGTTTAAGAAGTTTGCCCCCTGAAGCAAAGCGAGTTTGCCCCGACCTTTAACTGTTCAATACCAAATCTTTCACTCGTTTCCTTACATTATAACATATTCTGTTGAAATCACAATATATTTCAATTATAGAAACGAGCTGAAAGATTGAGGGCGAACTGGTTATGAAGGCGGGGATTCACCAAGGTGTCAGGGGGCGAACTTACAATGGGGCGAAACCTCCAGATACCCAAAAATTATCTTCAGCAATTCGCAAGGAGATACGTGGCAGCCATAATGGGCAGGAAATGAAGGAAAAGGAAAGAAAGAAATGGAAAAAAAGAAACGAAAGAAAAACAGACAATAAAATATTAAGACAAAAGGAAACAAAAAGAAATAAGAACAAAACAACAAAGAGGAAATGACAAAATTCCAAAATACAAACAAACGGTTGTCGCAGACGAGTCTGATAAACAACCAGCCCTTTCCTTCCCTAACAGCCGTCCTTACCATCGACGGAGATATTTTGAACAATAATAAAACTGACAAACGCATTCGCATTGTGACCTTGAAATGAATATATCGACTGCATTGAGATTTTCAAAACAAACCACGAAAGCGCTTTCACATCGTGACCTTGACACATCAACAACGGCTACATGCGGTAATTTCATCTTCATCATTGACGGAAAACACTGCTGAGATTATAATGATTGAAATAGCTTTCCTCGCCCTCCACTTTAATTAATTTCCGTTACAGTTTCAAATTCCTCATAAAAATCTCAGTTACCCTCACTCAACACAACATTGTACAACGTTTCCCTTGAATACCTGTAACGATCAAAACAAACAAAAATACAAACTAATAGAGCGCTTTTCGATGGAGTGTCGTTAAACCAAAACCGGAGTTTTCACCCATCAAACGAAAGGAAAATACAAAGAAGAACCGATGAAAACTCCAAGAGAAACCAAGCAAATCACCTGAAGAGCGGGTAACCAAGTCGTGATTGGTTTTAGTTTGAATCTGATTGGATAAGAGAGTGGCGCAAGTTTTCTGGACCAATCACAGCTATAAGTAAAGCAAAACCAATGCAGTCTTGGATTTCTTTCGACTCTCAATTGAAACTTGCTCTAAGCAAAACAAATCAATGTACAAGCTTTACCCATAGTGACTCGTTCCTTCCCTTTGCGTAGGAGCTGTAATGGCCTCTGTTGTAGGGGTCGTCTCTGGTGTGTAATCTACGTCGCTTTGAACTGTTCTGCCAACGTTTGCTGGTTCACGTAGAAACCTTTGGATCTTCGTTTCGGGTACATGCCCCATATCCTGACGAATACAACAAAAATATTTCCAAATTTTTATTGAATAACATCCTTTCTGCGATTGCTGAAATTGCTTTCCATCTGCGAGGATCATTTCTTTGGTTGATTTTCATCCGCAGGTAAAACAGAATTTTTTTTAACACCAATTTGTGATCAGATTCCTTCATGAGAAATATGAACCCTCTAAAATTTGCCTGACTTCTAACGTTTGGCTTCATAACTTTAGCCTGCAGAGTAGACGTAATTTGGGCGAGCGAGTGCTCAGACCTCTTTGATTTTAATGGCAGCGGAAGGCTGGGGAGAGAAAGAAATTTGTATCAAGGGGGTGAGTGACGGTCAAAAATAAGGAGAGGCGCTGAGGTGGGGGAGAGAATATTATCTTCTCGTCCTTGCCCTACCCCCTACCCCCACCGTCCACTTTAACTCCAAATCAAACATGGCGTTCGGATAAACGATCAGTAGCTTGTAACGTTGACTCGCCCTGATAAGACGGTTACACTGCAGGCTATCAGAACTCAGTTATCTGGGTGGCCTGGGTTCGGATCCGGACGAAGCCTGAACTCTATCAGAGTTGCTCAGAGAACAGACCACCTGAGAAGATCGTTTCCCTACTTAAAAATATTTCCGAAAAAAGCCCGCAAAAAAAAAAAAAAAAATTAAAATGATCAGGAATGAAATTCAACACATTTGATCTTGCCAGAGATGACATTTCAACAGTTTGAAGGAGGAGCACAAGTTCGAATTCCACAAACCTTTAGTCTCTCATATGTGTCCGCAATGATACCAATGAATAAACTCAGCACCACATAAATGAAGAGCGCAATGAAGATGTAGATATAGATTTTGCTAAATATCCACACAACAAGAGGGCTGTTGGTTCTAGTTATCTCCGCATAGGTATAGTAAAGGTCATCTCCATTGATCATCGAATACAGACACTCTGCAGTTATATCTAGCGTCTTAAACTAAAATGAAACATGAATGCATGAAAAGTTAATCCTTGGATCCTTAAACCTTTACCTCGAGAGTTTACCTGCTAAGTTCTCTTTACAATATCACCCCTGAATCACACTTTAAGGTCACGAGAATAAAGGAAATGATTTCCAACTACAGAAGCTCTTGATTGTTACAGGAATTCTCCTTGTAGCACTTTAATAAATGTATAGGAAACAGTACGGAGAACGCGCATACTGATGTCAAGGAGTAGAGTTGCTACACTTCTAACAGGCCTCTCGCCGGCGCAGATTTCCCTTTTGTAAACGGTCGTTGCCATTTTGAAACGGTCGTTGCCATTTCCGATAACAGTCGTTGCCATTCATTACAAAATGGCAACGACTGTTTCGACAAATGGCAACGACCGTTTCAAAATGGCAACGACCGTTTCAAATGGCAACGGCCGTTTACGAAAGGGAAAATTGCGCTCGCCGGCTCGCTTTGCTTAAGGGCTTAAACTTTACCGAGGGAAAAGGGACACTCGTGCAGCGTGAGGGCTTCAACTCAGACCTTTTTATCAGGAGTCTGACGAACTGAAAATAATCGAGACGTGTGTTCTATTTAATACTGAAATGCACAGTAAGAAAGAAAAAAAAATGGACCCTAAAAAGTCACGTTAACTCAAATATAAAGTAACAAGAGCATTACCAAAATAATAGTACATTTGCATTATAAAAATAAAACGCAGCGAGGGTCTTTGCTAAATAGTAGGGCAAATAAACGAATGTAAGATACAATGGCCAAAAACTCCTCTTTGAAACTTACCTTAGGATGGAAAGGACCAAAGACGATCCAGCCGCAAAACATAAAACCAACAAATATCAAAATCACACAGACAAAGAATCTGGCCATACTTGGAGTCGCAGCCTTTAGAGTCTCCAAAAGAACCTGCAAAAAAATATCACCAGAAAAATTCATCTAGAGCTTAGAAATATTACATTATTTTTTTAACTTAATAAATAGGCCAGTCAATTGTGAGCACAACATTTACGGTTGTCGTCAATGCCATCATCACTGTTTTTATAGCCTTACGTTGTATTTCTTTGAGTATCCAAGGAACCGTAGAAGACCAATCCAAACCAAAAGAACTGCTGTTCCCAGAAATATACTGCTGACATCATAGAAATCACTATCCTGAAAGACAGTCAGAACATTCTCAGCATAAAAAAATGTACCTCTTGAAAAGGAAACTCAGGCCCTCACCACTGGCGCCTCACGACACACATTTCTCCGCTTGCAGGAGAAAAAAAGTCAGGTGAGAATTGTCGGGGGTCTGGCACTAATCATCACTCTCAATCTGTGCTCCACCCTTCACAGACCTTTTGCCGACTGGTATTGCTAAACCTCAATTTCTCCCACAGACAATGAATCTCTCAACCTGAAGCGTTAATCACGAGAGCCGAGAAGATTTCAACTAGAAACAGTTTTGCAGTACAATATACACCGAATCGAAATGTGGCGTCCAATTTGAATTGCCATTATGTTGTTCTGGACTCACAAGCCTCTCTCACATGTGATAATTCTTTTGTGTTTTGTTTTGTAAAGACAATGGTAATTCAGAACAATTCCAGAACGATGGCAATTCAAATTGTATGCCATATTTCGATTTGGTGTATTGCAATTAAAAAGTATCTGATAGAGATTAATTAATTGGTTCTTCCCAACTCTCAAAATGTGTTAGGGAACTCTAAAAGGAGAAATATAACAGTTTGAACTGAGATCACCTTTTGATCGATGGCCATTTTGTATACTGAGCCAACAATTGTGAGTACGTCACTTGACATAATAACAATAACCCATAGACTAACAAATTCCTGGTAGTCTGAGAAGGTGAAGTCTTCAAGGAGCTCATTCTTGAAAAAGCTGGCAGCCTCCTTCAGTCATAAAAAACAAAACAAAATAAAACCAAACACATAGAGAAATCATACTAAATGAAGATGCCTAATTATTCAAAGTAATCAATGATTTTCAAGTGGAACACAGAAAAAAAAGCAAAGTGGGCATTATACATGTCCTGTCACTGAAGTTTAGTACTGATCCATTTCGCATCCCTGATGAGGTTTAGCTTAGACCAAAGTGAGTTCCATCATAATATAGGGAACTAGCTTCATAGTTCACTTTCCTTGGTGTGACTGACTTCTAATGACATTCTCATGAATATTCAAAACTCCCCTACCCTCCTTAGCTTCCTCCCTGCCACACCTACCAACCCAATATCTAACACCTCTCCATCAGGCAGTACACATCTTACTGTCTTTCCTACCCTTCTCCCAACTCTTTCCTCTACACCCTCAACTGTCCATCATCCCCTGCCTACCTATTTTACTCGCTAACTTATTTTCACCCTTTTTCCTTTTCACTCTTCCTCCATTTCTCTTTCCTTCTATGTGACATGTTCCAATCTTAATATACACTTCCTACTCTCAACTCTTGATCTTTCCTTACCTCAATACTTGCCTCAGGTTCACCTTTACCATCTTCTCTCCATTTCCCTTTCCTTCTGTTCACTTCACTCCCAGCCCTAACCAACTCTCTCATCCCTAACTTCAAGTTTTCTCCACTTCCTGCCACCCCCCCCTCCTCATTCCCCTTCCCTCCTACCTTTCCTGTCTCATCTACTTACTTTCATTGTCCCCTTCCTCCCTCCCTCCCCCCCTCTAAACCTGCCTCCTCTGTCTATCACACTGTCCTTCCTGCCCACACCCTCTCCTCCCTTTATTTACTCTTTCCAATTCACCATGCTCCTCCCTGCTTGCAAACTCAACCCTTGTTCCATCCCTCATTCCCTTCTCTTCCTCCCCATTTCACCACCTCACTTTCCTCTTTTCTTCCTTTCCTTCTCAACTCCCTTCCTACCTACCTACTGACCTGATCCCCCTTTCTTCCTCCCTCTGTTCCCCCCTCTCTTCATCTAAACTTCCTCTGTATGAATCTATCTACATGAACTAACAACATCATTCTTCAAATCTTCCTCTCTGGTTATTCATGGGGACTAAGGACTGCCTGCCAGCAAAATTCACTGGATGAAAGATCCATGGCCAGATTTTTGGCCAGCGATTGCTTGGTAAAGCAGAATGGGTACATGCACCTCACTTGAAATTTCAGCTGGCAGTGCAATTTTGTAGCTACAACCCTGTGTATTCCATTGATTTAATATGATCTGCTTAGCATAATGGTGGTAGGGTGTATCTAACCTTTGCCAACTTTAGAGATTTGTAAATTGATCTTGCACAAAGTACCAGAGACAGTGAGCAAATGGAGATAACAATGTAATCAAACATCACTAAGGCAACAGTGATGAAGTGGGTTCCTGAAAAAGTAGAACATTGAAAACTTATAAACAGAAAATTCACATAATATATCCATCTATCGATCTACATGTCCATCTATTTATATTTAACAATTATTCGCTGAAGGCGAGGTGAATATTGTCGAATAATCCCCGAGACGAAGTCGAAGGGATTATTCGACAATATTCACCGAACCTGAGGTGAATAATTGTTTTAGTATAATTTCAGAGCTGAACAACAGAGAAATTTCTAAAATCATAACATTTTAGTGACATTGATATTTTATTTTAACATTAATTTTTATATAAACCGCATGGAGAGGTTTATATAGCGTCATATAAGGAACCCCTTGACCAATCAGATTGCTGGAAACTCTTTGATATAATATATATATATATATAATAAATTATATTATGCAATCATCTGTCTGATGACTGTGTAAGTGTGAAACTCTGATGAGTGAGCAATCAAAAAACAGGCTTGTAGGGATGAAAGCCTACTAGTAGTCTTAAGTTTGTATTTTTCCAGCTCAACATTTATATATGTATATGTATATACATACACACACATATATATATATATATATATATATATATATATTTTAGATATCTATAGATATATATAGATCTATAATTATATATCTTAGTTTATATCTAAAAATATAAAGATACTAGATAGATAGATAGATAGATAGATAGATAGATAGATAGATAGATAGATAGATAGATGGATATTATAATTGGTACTTTGAATTCCAAAAAAAATTGTTTACAACACCCTTCAGTTAATGTTACACCATTCCTTAGTAGTGCACCCCCTTCTAAGAAAAAATCCTGGATCTGCCTCTGATTAATTTTTAATACAGTATCATCATTTTATACAACAGAACAAATCCATGAACCTGTCCCACCTTTTATTTTCTTACCTTCAATATGTACAACAGTATGTAGAAATCGTAGCTATTCATTTATTAACTGAAGTTTTTTTTTAATTAGAGAAACTTACTTAAGTGGTTCTGGCCCTTTATTTTCCCACGCACGCATTCTAACCAAATGTTGGTCATATCAAAGTCAACTGGCATTCTTCCATCATGTTTCACATTATCAAATGTAATCTACAAACGACAATGGCAATTCCCTCTGTTAGTCACGAAATTACATCAGGTGTCGAGTATCAATAATAACTCATGATTGCTATATCAATACAGCTTTTTGTCCAACCTACAAGCATGTTCAGAAAATTCCAGCAGAAAGTTTACAAGTAATTGGTAGTGAAAAGGGGTGTGGCACATACTAGAGAATTTGCCATTTTAAGTTGAAGATGACTGATTCTTTTTTTAAAACCCTTTGATCCCTATGGGTGACTGCAATTGCAGCCTCTAATTTCACTTACCGCATCACCCCTAAATCAAACATTAAGGTCACAAGAAATGATCACCAAATAAAGAAACTCTTGATTGCTACTTAAAACAAATTCTTCTTGTCAGTATTAATTTTTTAGGAAATGTATGAGCATGCAGTATAGAAAATGTGCACACTGTTGTTAGATAAGGGGTTATTATGAACTTCAGTATGTAAAGGATTAACTGCATCCATTGCAGTTTTGGCAATCTAATGCTGGAGTACACTTCTTCTGGATTTAAGGGTGTATGCTAAGCACATTGACTGACACATGTCAGTTAATTTAATTAGATGCAGTACACTGCTACCTCAGTTTTTACAGGACTTACTTATGTTAAAAAAAACATGTTCAGGTCTCTATTTGTGGAGGTTTATAATAGAAAACTGAACGATGTAAATTGCATAGCAAACCCAAGAGACAAAAGGTGTGCAACTAGTAAATATATGCAAAGAAATGTTAACCAATCAGAGTGGTTTAACTGCACAATTGATAATAATTCTAACAAATTACTGGCCAAATTAATCATATGGCTATAATAAATTCAGAACTTAAATTAAATAACTGCTCTGACTCGAGAGAAATTCAAGAGAATTGAATGGCTTCATTCAATCACTGTCCAAACTGGAAGGCTTCACAAAGTCATGTTCAGCTATTTTGCTGTTTCTCTTTATTTCATATCATTCCTTCACTTTTACCGCAAACTCACTTTCTAACTTACCGTTACATTCAGCTGATAACAGGCAGGCTTATCCCACGCTTTGACATTCTTCACATTGACAGTCTTCAATGAGAATTTCAAGCTGATGTGACGTAATCTAATTCAATCAAACAACATGATGTCCTTATTTGAACAGCAGCAGGATATCAATGAAGTGGACAATTAAAGTTGGTACTACAGTCAAAACTCATATAAGCAGCACCCTATTAAGAAGTTTAATACCCTGTATTTAGCAGTCATATGTGTTAATCCTTTAACTCTCAAGAGTGATTAACGTGAAACTTCTCCCGATAATATCCATACATTTTTTAGCAAACAGCTTAATGTGAGAATACTCAAACTTATCGAGTACAGGTTTTGATCCTGATCATCTAAACCCCTATTCTCAGCACCAATTTGCAAGGAAATGCGTAGCAGCAAAAGGGGAGAGTTAACAATCAGATCTTGGGAGTTAAAGGTCGCTTAAAGTCCTGAATGTGCTTTCCCTTAATCACTGTTACACTAAGTTTTATCCATATCAAGCAGTAGCCTCTATATGCAGTTGAGATCACCCTTTACTAATTCCTGATGGCCTTTTTTTCAATGTCTCCCATCTGTATTGAATTGGTCACTGCCTGTGTTCTTGAGTTATAAATAGAAATGTCCTGTAATTTTATAGGATTGATAGCATCTGTCTACATGTAGTAGGGGTGTGGAAAAGATGGATTGGTATAATGAGCATATTGATGGAAATCAGAGAGGAATGACTTTGCAGTAAAAGAGGGGCAGTGTAGGACTAAAAGAGAAAGGGTTGTTTTGCTGAGTTAAATGTCGGTAAGAGGTGATGCTACCACACCTTCTTGCAGGAGTTGGTTTGCTTCTAAAGCAAGGAGTAGGGTGGAGCCTAAGAATTGAAGGACAGGGAGTTGTTTTGACTTATGTGCAGGGATGGGTAGGGAGTTGATTTAAGGTAAGGATTTGGTTTATCTGGAATGAGGGGAGGGGTAAGGCTTTGGTTTATCTGGAATGAGGGGAGGGGTAAGGATTTAGTTTATCTGGAATGAGGGGAGGGGTAAGGACTTGGTTTATCTGGAATGAGGGGAGGAGTAAGGATTTGGTTCACCTGGAATGAGGGGAGGGATAAGGATTTAGTTTATCTGGAATGAGGGGAGGGGTAAGGATTTGGTTTATCTGGAATGAGGGGAGGGGTAAGGATTTGGTTTATCTGGAATGAGGGGAGGGGTAAGGATTTGGTTTATCTGGAATGAGGAGAGGGGTAAGGATTTGGTTTACCTGGAATGAGGGGAGGGGCAAGAAGTTGCTTAACTTGGGAGGAGAGAAGGGATAGAAATTGTTTTATTTTGGATATGGGAAGGAGTAGGGAGAATGGTCATTAGAGTTGAGAAGGTGGGGTGAAGACTCTGAGTGAGAAGTTTGTTTCTTAAAGTGGGTGGGGTGTGGTCCTTGGTATTACACTGTATGTAATAATAGGAAGAGGAATAGGATTTAGTAGTGGATGTTTTGTGTGGTGGCTCTTACCGTCAACTGTTTCCAGGTTGAATTGGAATTTAGACTGTTGGTTTTGGTGGAGGCAAGAAAACCGAGGTATCTGGACAAAACCCTCAGAGCAGGGATGAGGACCAACAACAAATTCAACCCACATGTGACACCAAGTCCACGAATCTGACTCAGGATATGGGATATGGCGGTGGGCGGCAAGCACTCTCACCACTGTGGCATCTCCACTTCCCACCCCTTAACTATTGTTCAAAAGTAAATGTTGGCTGCATAAAATGTGTCTTACCTTCCCAGATTAAAAGACTTGTTTGTAATAATGTGCTCATGGTTTACAGGGCGTCCCAGATAAAAGCAAACTGCCAAAAAATAAGACCTCATCAAAAAAAGGCTGGATCAGCCCCTGAAGTTGTAAAAATTAGTTGTTTGCAGATGTACAGCTCACTGCTGGCTCAACTTAAAAGGTAGTGAAAAAATATTGGGTCATGTCAGGTGAATTGGGGGTTGTGAATTGGGGGTTGTGAATTGGGGGTTGTGAATTGGGGGTTGTGAATTGGGGGTTGTGAATTGGGGGTTGTGAATTGGGGGCTGTGAATTGGGCCTCAGGTATGAGGTCTATAGGAGATGACTGCAAATCTGCTTGAAGCAAAACCCAGTATTCTTAAGGACTATCCAATCAAAAACCATTACAAGTTACTTTTATGTGTCTTATTTAGTTTTATTATGTTTATATGCACAACAGCTGTAACTTTTAGAGCCTTGCAATTTGCAAAGCCTCTCTCTTAAATATTCTCTCAACAAATTGTTCAGTTAAGTTATATGACAGAAGTAAAGAGAATTGCCAGTGTAAGATCTTGAGAGCGAAAAGGTTAAATATTATAACTGCTGAATTAACCTCTCCACATTAGGCCATCAGTTGATTAATTCACCCAACTATAGATAGTTTGTAAATCTAGCTATGAGAAACGGACCATTCTAATCATTATAGAATCTTAAACAACTAATTAAAAATAAACTGTAACTCTGCATATAAAAAGGATTAGGTAAAATGTAAGACTCACCAAGTGTTACATTGGGATCAAATACATATGTGTTGTTTACAATTCCTCCTTTCTTATAGTAGCTGTAACACAGCTTCATTTTGGGAGGTTCAGTGCCATTCATTGTTGTATAGTTGTATGTCCCAAGTGGGGCTGACGTGATTTCATAATACTGAAAATTTGAAAAGAAACTTTAATATGAATCAATAGACATACTGTTATTTTTACTGTAATGTCTTAATCTAATGGCCACTGGCCACATCTAGCTTTACTGTGGGACAGTCATGAGGTCATCAGATTCAATGCACATGTACAGCTGTACCTGAAGTTGACTGTTCCATTTCAGGCCCTTGTTGTTCGAAGGAACCACATGGATAATGCTCTACTACAATATATAGACAATTCTCTATTCCGTGGATAAGCACAGCTCCTTTAATGTCAATACTTATCTGTTGAATAATGATTCATTTGTTGGATTGTCTTATCTGCCCTCTGCAGATAAACTGGGTGCATATGAAAATATCAGAGTTTGATTTAAAGTCATAATGATGGTGTTTTGTTTTTGGTCAAGACTCTAATATGAATTCTTAATTTAGTCTAGCTTTAATATTCCATTAAATTTTCACAAATGTACAGTGCACAGTGCATGTGGATAACACACTACTTTAACACATTACTTTAACCACCTTTATACGCACCTTACAAAAAAACACTTAATTTAAATTGCCCACCACAGAGTTTCTAAAGTTGACATTTTGAGCATACTAAATAGCCCTTGTCATAGTAAATGCTGAAGGACTATAGCTGGAAACATCAGCTTTACAAATCTCTAGGGTAGCCAGTTTCCTTTCAGCGACTCAGTTGATAATACCAAATTATTTTGTGATACCACCCACCTACACAGCAACACAATTTCTTTAGAAACTTACCTCCTGTTATTGATACCAGAACAGTTCAATAAACAGGAAGGAATTGTTATATAAAGTAATTTATTTCAAGCTCAAAACATAACAAAACCAAAATAGCCGCTACAGGGAAAAAAGAGTACCGAAGCCCGTGGTCCTCAGTGGCAAAACCACAAAAGGGTGGGATTAAACAAGTATTATTACACGACTCGGGCAGTCAGAGGGCCAATAACTAAAATCAACCAATCAAAATGCTCTATTGCCGGTCAATATTCTCTCAGTATTAGACCGGGAGTGTCCCAAATGGTCCCAAATGATACCGGACTTGTGTCCCTTTGAACTTCAGTCGTGTAATAAATCTCTTATTAACCAAGCTTGCTCGGGACCGTACTGGAAGAATATCGGACCTCGGTCTTTTTTGTACGGACTGAGCGCAGCTCGGTCCGTACCGTCAAGACCTCGGGCCGATATTCTCCCAGTACGGCCCTCGCACTTGGTTAATAAGATATATATATTTGACCAAATCCTTCATTAACACCCCCTTCACATTTCCATTTAACTGATGGTATGAAACCTAGCTATTAAACACTCTACCTGTTCATGAGCATAGTGAAGGTAATCATAAAGCTGTTCCCTTGTGTACACAACAACATCTTGCCATTTTCCCTGATAGTCTTTCAGAAAAAAGTGTCGCAAAGCATCACGATTATGGTCCAGGAATGTGACCAAGGAAAAACGATCCAGTCCAAATAAACATATCTGTAATTAAATAAATTATGCCCAGTCCATCAGTTTCAAGCATAGGAATTTAATCCTTTAACTTCGAAGATCTGATTGTTAATTTTCCCCCCTAAGTGCCACACATTTCCTTGTAAATTAGTTGCAAAAATTTGGTGTTTGATTGGGAAAATAACTACTACTTGATTAAAGTCTGAACATATACTCTTATTACTTGTTTGTTGTATTATTTTTATGACTGTAGGGATGTTTTAGGGGGCCTTACTGTACTATCATTGCTATTAATAATTGTTTTCAAAATGAAACCTTCATTTTCTTCCATTTTGTTCTAAACTTGGAAATTTATTTTCCGAAAAAAAAAAAAAAGAAGTGTTTCACTTCTGTTTATTTAGCTTATGGAATCGCATGGAAATCTAAAATCAAGTCCCTGGTACTCAGAGGAACTTGCTGATCTTCCAGGTGGAGGAATGCAGGAGGTGTGTCACAAATGAACTTCAATAGTGGCCGAGATAATTAGGTCGTATCAACTGAGGTGATAATGTAACTGGTTACCGTGGAGAGTTCTAAAGATAGGAACTCCGTTGATAAAACCATTTGAAAATTATATTTGACTCTTTGACTCCCCATCGCACCGCGACGTAGAGGCAGTTTCTTTCGAACTAACCCCTAATGGCCTATAACGAATTCGCCGTTGGGTTCTCTGCAACCAAGTGGTAGAGGATCATGTCGTAAAATCCGAAGATTTGAGGTGCAACACCTCCTGAGGACTCGGACTTTTCTTTGTCCAAGACTTGTGACGAGACGAAAACACAAAAACGTTATTTTCTTTACGTTCAGTAATGTATTTACCCCTGTACAATGTTTCTCTAAAACCAGTTTTATTTCCTTATCAAATGATAGAACAATGCACGACTCGATTTTGCATTTCCTTCAGTTCGTCGGCTGAAAGCGGTTAACGGGCAATAATTTTGGAATATTTGTTCTTCATTATTATAATACACTTGACACATGCAGTGTTATACGTAACTGGCAGTGTCAAAGCACGTCCTGCATATGTTTCTTGACAGTGAGGCGTAACTCTGATTTAGAGCAGCCACTTTTCTTTTGAAAAAAAAAGGCAGAATTTTTGCTCTTTTTCTACTCTTATTTCACCCACTGCTCTTATTTCACACACTGAATCTTACCTGGAGGGTAACAAGAGCGACTTTCACGATTTGAACAACCAACTTCCACGGCTTTCTCCGTCTTGCACGAAATTTCTGAAAAGGATTCATGTAGTGATATCTGATCTTTGTCTTCAAGATTTCTCGTAGACTTGGACTGGATTGCAGGCTTGCCATGACATCCCCTTCGTCAAAACCCGAGCTACTGTCGTCTTGGGTCTGCTGACCCCCGATCGAACGTTCGCTCACAGAAGTTTGGTCCGTTTCGTCACCCGTTTGTTCCTCTTGAACTGTGCCCAGTTCACTTGTGTATGAACGAGCAACTGACGGTTTCCGGGAAATTTCTTTGTTTGGAGAAGTCATGATAACAAAAAATTGTCACCTTTTTTATAAAGGAGGAGGTCAAGTCTTTAAACCAACGAAAGGAATCTTGAGAATACTTGTAAGGCGTCCGCTCCACCGCGAATTTACATTTGCTTTAAAATGCATTGTTTTGAAATAATCACATGATGATTTCGTGACCGTGACTGTCAACTTCGTTGTTGTGTTACATTTAAGTACTTTCTCAAATAATGTATTTTCGCCTCCCCTTTGTTTGTATCTACATCTACAGACCAAAAGAAGTGCTCAAGTAAATGGAATGAAATAAAATTTTCTCGTTTTCTGTTAGTAAACTTATTTGTAATAGTTTCCCTGAAACCGTCCCTGAAACCTGTAGCCTACGCGTAGCCGTACCCACCCCGGTTTCATACTTTGGAAAACCCGGATGAAGTCCTGTCATTTCACGCAATCATTGTGAGTCAGCGTTCACCTTAACAGTCTGGTTCTGAACTAATCCAACATGGCAGCCCCAGCAAGCGCTAAAGATGAACAAGGTAAGGTTTAGTTACATCATCTGTCTATCTTTACTTCTAACGTTTTTCTCAATTTAGGAAGGTATTAAAGTGAATTCAAATGTTCTCATTTTTTAAAGACCTTCTTGAAAGAGTATTTCTCCGCGTTGCTTCGGCCGAGTCTGATGATCAACTGGAGAAGACAGTGAAAACGTTTTTGTGCCCGGTTCTACTAAAGGTTTCTAGTCCCTATCAAGAAGTCAAGAATAAGGTACGTTAGCAGAAAGAAGTTATTCTGTTATATTTAATGATAACTTCCTCGTCTTATTTTCTTAATTTGAAAACGCTAAAACCTCAAAACTGAAAATTACAGTCTCAGAATTTTAATTTTTTAAGCTTGCTTGATTGAGTGAGATGTTCACCTCAGGAAGGTACAGTTTTTAGAAAGATTACCTTATAACCCCATAATAATCAAAGACAAAGCTGCAGTTCCAAAGGAAATATGTTGTTTTGCTTCTGCTTTCCTTAATCCAAGAATTGAATGCATAATGAAATATGGGGTTATTTGGAGGGTGTTACCAAAACTAAGACCCTGAAAACTAAGACCTAAGGCCCAGTTCAAAATTCGAACTTTACATGTGCGGAACCTAATTATTAGGTTCGGAGCATTTAAAGTTTGACCTTTGAATAAATTAGGATCGACGCTTTTGTATTAGGGTCGACTCTGCCCTTCTATTCGACTGAGCTTGTCGAATAGAACGGCAAAAGATCGACTTCGATTCATACGTAGATCTTCACATGTGCCATGCTTAATGCATATTTTATGAATTTATTAAATTAGTAATTTTTTTCCCACAATTCCACTAGTTTTTAGGTAGTTGCAATGTGCATAAGATTACATTTGAAAAAAATGGCAGGGAAAGAGGAACAATCTTGTTCTTCGTGCCTAAAGAATACAAAATATAGTTTTTGGAGGAGAAAGGATTACTTCTGTATGCCCTGTTCTGTCTTCGAGAACGATGAAACTGTTGAACGACCCAAAACAATTGCTATGTATTATTCAATTTACTTTGCATACGCTTTTTACATTTCAACATATTCTCATAAAATAAATAAACAAGAGAATAAAATGGGGTCTTTGTTGTCATAATTAGCTTTCGTTATAATTACAAAAACTAAAATCCCACCTTAAATGTGATAAACGTTTTCCGTTTTATAAGCAACGACACTACTTATAAAGTGGGTAAACCCTGATTAAGTCTGAACTTTTGCATTTAAAAAATTTCCTCAATTCCATTACTTTTGCATCTTGTAGAACGATTCAAAACAATTCTAAAAATAGCTCAGTGTCTGGGAGGAAATTTAAGAATCGCCCATCAAGAGAAAATACTTCGAAACGCAAGGAAAGGTTAAAGAAAATCCCACTTAATCTAAAGCAACCAGGTTCTTCGATCCAACCGGTAAAGCAAAAAATCAAGATGATGTATAAAATCTCCGGCTCACCTTAAAAAAATTGATAAATAAGAAAAATGAGATGGTGTCATAGTTTTCATCATGAGATTTCGTAATTACAAAAACTAAGACCCACCAGAGAAGTGATGAATCATTGAAAAGACGGGGTGTTAATTGCTGTCTATTATTCACTTTTTACATTTCAACATAATAATTATAATTCTATTTATTAAAATAAAATAAACTTGATAAAAAAGAAAAATAAGATGAGGTCTTAGTTTTCGTAATGAGCTTTTGTAATTATGAAAAGTAAGACCCACCAGCAAAGTGAAAATCAATGAAAAGACGGGGGTCTTAGTTTTCGGGGTCTTTGGTCTTAGGTCTTAAGTCTCAGTTTTTGGGGTCTTAGTTTTGGTAACACCCGTTGTACAGAAATCTTGCCCAGTTTTTAACTTGTCACTTTTAAAATGTGTCACTAAATTTAAAAAAAAAGGGTCTCGAATTGCTAGCTATTTCCAACTTTGGTAAGGTTTCCATATTCTCACTATTTTAAATTAAGGTCTTAAAGGCAATCAACTATTGTTTTCTTCAAATTCACTATTGTTTTCTTTATCGGAGAACTGTTTGCATAATGGAGTATGGTATGAGGCTCTCCAGAAAACTTATGAAATATTGTGGAAATTTTTTTAGAACTGTTTAATCTAGGCAGGGCTCGACACTAACTTTTCAACTTACTAGCCAAGTGGCTGGTGACATCTTAGATGCTTCAACAATGTCAGTTCATTTACTAGCCAAACTGGCTGGTGGAAACCAAAACCCACTAGCCAAAACTGAATTTCAACTAGTCTGTGGCTAGTGGGCTACTCTTAGAGAGGAGCCCTGCAAGGGCACTATGCCTCTTGTAATGTCAGGATAAAAATCTTTAATCAAACCAGAATCAATTTGAGTAATTATCAACAACAGTAGACATGCATGTTGGTATGATTCTAATAAAAACATCACAACAGAATTATGGGTCCCTCATAAATGGGCTACAATTCTTTAAATGATTTCTCTGTTAAAAAATTGAGTGAGGCATCAGGAAGACGAAAATAATTTGAGGAATTTTTTACCTATTCACTCTGCAGGTAATGACTATACTGACTCATCTCAACAAGCGTTTGAAGAGCCGACCACAAATCCAGCTCCCTGTGGATTCCCTGCTGTCACAATATCAAGTGAGTGACATGTACTTTGATTTCATCTTCAAAGGCTAATATGTGCGAGTTCATCCAACAGCAAAAATATATGATAAAAAGTTCTAGTGTCAGAGTGGGAAACCACTTACCAGTACATCAAAGTGTGGAGGAATACAAGAGCACCTCCTCCTTGATTGGAAGGCACTTCCATGAAAAGCAAGGCTTGGCTCCAAAGAATCTTTCCGAGAATTCTAAGGACTTAAAGAAATCCAAGAACAAGTTTGACTGTCTCATTTATAAAAATGATGTTCTTGATTAATGACCAAGTCTTTTTGTACAGTATGACTCAATTCACACACCAAATTCTTGTTGTGATCAAAATTTTGTCTTTTGTCAATGCTTTGTTTGTTTTTATTCTTCATAATTTTTGACATCCCTCTTTGAAAATTTAATTTCTTTAATATTACAGTTGTATACATCATGTTTTCAGTTGCATTTTTTACATAGTTTGACACCCTGTATATATACACATTCTAACTGGTTTCTACTTGGTCTTTATCTTGCCATACAGACCTTTCCATTGAAATGGTCAAGAGCCATGTATTTTTGGTGATGAAAACAAGAAATCTGAAAGTTAATATGACTGTAAACAAGTTTGGTCTGAGTGTCTTATAATAACTACTTACTCGCCTTGCTTGTTCATATTGCATTAGTAATTTTTGGTGGACCACACTGCACTTGGTCCATACTGTCACAACCTCAGGCCAAAATTCCCCAATTCTTAGTAAGAAGTTGGTATTTTTGTGAAGGCTACATGACTAACTTTTTTATATAGACAGATATAATTATTTGTTATTAATAATGTTTTCACCCTTATTTGATCACAGCAGTGTACACAATCAGTAAAGGTCATGAGTGCTACTTGTTTTATGGTATTTGATGATATTTCCAGCTGTCGATTGTTACTTGCACCTTAAGTTTGACTCCAATTCAATTGTCCTTGTTGATTTTAGGATGAAACAGTGCCAGCCTTTGTTACTGTAAGTAATTATTTGCATTTATTTAATTTTGTACATAACTTCCAAATGTGTTTAAGCTCTTGTGAAGTTTTATACTTGTGATAATCCAAATCATCAAAAAGCATAGTTATAGTAAGATGGAATAAGTTTAAAAAATTGTAAATTGGAGAGTTACATGTACCTGCGCAAAACCTGAGATTTGAAAATCTCTGACTGTTACTTTCCTTTGCACTTTGTTTTTAGAATTTTGACATGATATATCTAAGAATGGGTTTTCCACGACTCACTCTTGAAAAACAAGCAGAATTGGCTCCACAGCTGATAAAATGTCTTCAAGATAAACCACAACCTCAGCAACACTGGTGGGTGATAAATATATTTTGGTTTAAAATGTCAAACAGTCATGATTGTCTCTTAGTGTGAGTAGAGATGAAGCAACAGTTGATTGTTTAAAACCCTTTGCTTCCTAGCTTCAGTATGATCCATATTCTCTACACTCTTTTCTATAAATTTCCTTGGTACTAGCAAGGAGAATCTGTTTGACAGTCAAATTTTTTTATGTTGGTGATCGTTTTCTTTATTCTCTTAGTCTAAATTAATGATTCAGCAGTATTTCTATAAGGGAAAATTAAATGCTGGTCACTCTTACAAGTTGAAAACATTGAATTATCTATTCATAGTCACCTTGACTACACTGATACTGTATAGATTGTGGTAGCTTGCCACTTGTAAACGGCTAAAAGTGAGAGCCAGAGACACATGGAAGATAACCCTTTGAGTCTCCAGATCGTATTTAGAAATTCTCCTTAAACTCTTATGGTGCTAGTTTGGAGAATTTGGCATTGGATCAACTAAGAATCCACTAATTGATATTTTTTAATTTTATCTCTTGTCTGCTTGATATTTTACTGATGTTTTGACGAGAAATTCTTTCTTGGTCTCTGATTGGAGTAAATGGATTAAGTCTAGCCTGGCCAATGTTTTTCTACTATATAATTTTGTGATATCGACTAAGTTGAAATTGTAAACGTCAGCTTTTTAACACTTTACGGTGGCCAATTTACAATTTCAGCTTAGTTGTTATAACCAAAGTACCTTGTTACCCCCACCAACGCAGCACCACAGTTTCTCCAGAAACTTACTCCCTTTATTAACTGTTCTACTATAGCCTCCTGCAGCTGGTTTTACCAGTCTTAGGTCATTTAAAAGTTCCAGATTCCACGGAGGCAAGAGAGAAGATGTTTGAATTTACAGAGAAGCCAATGGTGTTACAGATGTTACAGGATTTTCTTCTTGATGTTCTATTGATGCCGTACAGGTGCGTGAATTCCTTCACTTGTATGTACAGTGTAGTTAGTTTTTGTACATTAAGTGGTCATTATTTCAGTATAGGATAAAATGGCATTTTTTTTTCCTGTCTTATATAAAACCCCTATTTTGTGGAATCTGTATTAAGTGGTCAACCTGTTAATCCCATGGGTGACCTCTCAACACTGGTTTGACTGAACATGCTAGTGAAGGGGACAGTTACTCGAGGAGAGACCATAATATTTCAAATTTTGGTTAAAAAAGAGGTGCCTTTTCTAAATGGGTACTATATTTATTAAGAAATTCATCTTTATTCCGATTTGAAAGAAGGTTACAACAGCGATAGGCTAGCAAACAACGAAACTGCGAGGTTAATAGTTAGATGATGCAATAGGAGAGCATGTGTAATTCCCTAGAGAGTGTCACATGATCTTATCCAACAAATCACATTGCATGATTATTATTTCTGCAACAATATTCAGTCAAACAGAGGCACTGATTCAAGGATCCTTCTATACCATTGAAATGTTCCAAGAATCAATTTTGAACAATGTTTGTGATCTTATTTGTAGCACAACAAGACGGAAGCCAAATGTGGTGATAATAGGGTCTGCGCCCTCTCAATCTTCAGAATCAAATACAGCTGCTGAAGAATCAGACCACTCCTCCAGTCCTCCCCCTGCCACACCTCCCTCTGAGGCTCCACCTGGATTGAGTTTGGCAGCTGTGAAACGAGTTACTGGTGATGTCCCCTTTGAGCCAAACAAACTAGAGCAGGTACTTTAACCACTAAAAATTAATATGCAGACCAGTAAATTGAAATGATTTCTCTGATCCGTGAACAAAGGAACACTTGTTATTTTACCGTCACTTTCCTTGCTTGAAAATGAAAAATTTTGATACATTTTTCAACAACTAACCTTTATGTTCCTTGTAACCGTGTATACCCTAACATCTGTCTGCTTATTTTCCCTATTGCTCCTTACATATACATTTCACAAGGTGCTGGTCAACAAAGAAAATTATTTTGTATTTTATTTATCAATCAAGAGGGCTTTTCTTTATTGGTGACCATTTCATTTATCTTCATGACCCTTAGCTAAAATGTTTGATTCAAAGGTGATATTGTAAGGAGAAATTAGATGTTAGTCACTCATTGTTAGGGGTCAAAATATTAAAAATGGGTTGGCCTTTGGCTTCTGTTGTGAGGAGGTGCGGTGGTCTCATGGTTAGTGCACTCGACTCCGGATCGAGTGGTCCGGGTTCGAGCCCTGGCCGGGGACATTGTGTTGTGTCCTTGGGCAAGACATTTTACTCTCACAGTGCCTCTCTTCACCCAAGAGAATTAAATGGGAACCGGCAAATTTTATGTTGGGGGTAACCCAGCGATGGATTAGCATCCCATTACTCCTAGCCACTTCATGCTAAGGAAACCAGAGTTAAGTGCAGGCCCAACAGGCCACATGGCTCGTAAGTAGGCTGTTGCTGTTTTGGCGATGAATTCATTTCTCAAGCAACTGGTGATACCATGGATGGTCCCAGTCACAACAAAAATGTTTTAAGAAAATTGCGAGAAATCACTGAAAATAACTACCCAGAATAAACCTGTGCTAAGTTCAGAAGACTGTGATGACATTTTAAGACCTCAATAATTCATAATTATCACTGGGATACACTTCGATGATAGACCACAATGGAAATTTCAAGAATTTAAATGGAATAGGAAATGGTACACTTATTGTGCAATGTCTTGTGGTTGACTAGGATCCTTTATCAAATACTTAATTATCCTTCCAACATTTTTCCCAAAATATTCTATTAAAACTGTCATGTGCAGTCAGAGTTTCCTCTAGATCACATGGGAACCAGTTCCTATGAAGGAACATCTTGGTGCATATAGGAAGCTTGTTCACTGACATCTTGCTTTGACTCTTTTTTGTAGATTAAACTTGGAACTCTGAAATTCTTAGCACAAGATTTGTTTGAACCCAGTGACATTATTTGTCATTTCCTGGTAGCTACAGGAGACACTAGACACAGGTATGTGTTCATGTTAATCTGTATGGCAGCTAGCTACTCTCTTACCTTTGTACAGCTACATTTTCAGCAATTCAGTGACAGAAAACCATGCATATAAAAAAAAAAAAAAAATTCAACAATAAAAGCAAACATTATTTTAATTCTTACATGATAGGATTGCAATTCTTTTTCTGTAAATTTAATTGTAGTGTGCTGGATGTTGGGGATCATGAACTAAAGAGAATATCAAGGTGAGCATTTCTCCAAAAACTTCCTAAATCATTAAAACTACTACCGTAATTTCTGGCCGTTTACGCGCGGGTGATCTGTTGATTTGGCCTTAAACACGCGCCACTGCGGGTAATAGAGAGGTGTGGGTTATGTACCAATTTTGAAATCTACTGGCGGTTGAATTGAAGAAAATTTTCACTTACCAGCGTTTTCACCTCTCAGATGAATTTTATTGTAATAAGAGTGCCACAAAGTGGTACGAAAACATGATGCTGACTCAAGTTTATTTCGCGCACAATTAGTTGCGCGACAAACAAATTACTATCGGCACATGTGTAAACAAAACCTTGATGGTCACAAAAATAAACCAAGGATAACCGGCGCATCAGTAACAAATTTCCAGTTAACACTAGCTTCAGCTGAAGAGAATTTTCCTGTTTTAAGGGACTTGTTAGACCCAGTATAACCAGAGATATTGATTTTTTTGAGAAATCAACATGGCGCTGAATGATCGTTCGCACGAAATGTGGCCACAAATTCGCATTCTGTCAAGTATGCAACGTTGTGAATTGTAGAGCATGTTTGTACAAATTTCATTTGTTTTTAAGGTGCAGGTTATCCACCAGTGCGGGTAACATGTCGACTTTTTTTTTTTGCTGCATGCAATAATCGGCTGGTGTGTGTAATTGGCCGTGCGGGTAAACGGCCGGAAATTACAGTAAGTAATTGTCTTTACTGTCTTACCTGTTTTGGGGAACAATTTTTACAGCTCAACAGATTTTGAGAATCCAAAGGTTGTAAATAAGATGCTTGGTATCTTTCAAGGAACTACACCTGTTGCTGGAGCTACAAACCAGGTATTTGCAATGGGAAGAGCTGTCATATCATCATATGCTTTTGTAAATTGTCTTCAAATGTGCTAGAGATTTCACAACAGGCACCAGCACTTTCATTGGAAATAAATTTGCATCAGTACTACAACTTATAATTGAACCTGGAGACACAGGAGAATACCAGAATATTACTCAAATGTTGGGAAACAGACTACAGTATTCACAAAGAGTTGCCTCTTTGGTTTTGACTTCTCTTTTTATCATTTAGCTTGTGCTCTAGTTTTAATTAAATTGATAAGGTTTGCATGTAACCAAATTATGAGCTGAAGTTTGTTGCATCGCAGGGAAGTGACTTTGTTGGTAAAAATCACAGTTATGGAACATTGTGTTTTGTTCTTATACACAAAGTTCATCTATCAGCAAACTCTGAGTTTACTGACAGAGATACAACCTGCCTAGAGTTGTCACTTTCCATTTTCATAACAAAGCATGACAAAATACACTGTACATTTACAACCCATGATATTAACACAAATGACTCGCAGGAGTGGTGAGAGTCACAAGTCCAGTCATATGGAGGTCTCGCTAGTTGGTTATAATGAGACTTGAGGCCACAACAGGTGGCATTTGCTGTCAGACTTTTAGGAAATAAATTTTGAAGACAATTTTCAAGAGCTTAGATCACTTTTTTGAATCTTAAATTATTTCCAATGTCTTTTTTTTTTAATTTTACATTGTACTAATCAAGTAACACATGGTTTATGGAGCCCTATTTTCTCTTGCAGTGGACATGACTTGTGACCTGGGGGTCCTTGAGATCACAGTGAGTTTGAGGTCCTCCCTTCCTAAAATATATGTTTGCTTTTTTGCTCTACAGGCAGCCCAAATCCCACCAGATGAGAAGAGATTGCCAGCAGGTGTTAGACTGAAGAAGAGAATATTTCCTTACCTTCTAAGGTCTAGACGGGCTGCTGATCAATTCCCAGCCTGTCTACAGGTATGGATCTTGTCTTATTTTACTTCGGGTAAGGCATTTGGTTGCCATTCCTTTCATACCCAGTTGATTCATACTCAGGTAAGACCATTCCTACCTAGTCAGGTTTGTCATTTCATACCCATACAAATAAGGGAGTTTTGTTTGTCCCCAAGTATTTGAATGAGTACAAAATGACCAGTAGTTTTGATACAAACTGACACAAACTGGGTCCAAATTGTTTGAGTTTGAGAGTACAAATTGATTAGATACTTGGCATTCACATGTAAAATTTCACATAACATCAGTGGCCTAATTTGAAGTTTGATATGTGTTATTAAGAATACCAAATAACCTAGAGATCTGGATGGATGTTGGTAGATTTTTCCATGTCATGTGACAGGATTTTCAGATTTTTTCTGAGCACTAAGTTAAATGATACATGTAGATCTTTGGATGATAGACTGAACATCAAATATTTGCTGCAATTCTTTTGTTGTCAAATTAGGCTCGTCTGAAATTCAGTATCAATTCAAACAACTTATTCATCATTTCCACCTTCATTATGATAGATTATATTCGATAGTCTCTTTGGCAAGGAGCTCAACAGCAAGCTGAGGGTGAATGCAGTTCAGTTTGTCCACCATATCTGTTTGTGGAGTTCTGAGAAAGTAATGAACATGATAGGACCTGTTCTTCTAGGTGGAATGACAAAATTGATCAATGAGGATAAACAGGTTTGTGAAAATTTCTTTACGCTTACAATGACTAGACTACAGAAATCAAACAAGCCTGTAAACTCAGTCAGATTTCTGCTTTATCTCTAAGGATTTCATTCACATTTTAAAGTAAAAAGGAAAATAAAACAACACATAAATAATAATTGTGTTTGGTAAGGATCGAGGAGCAGGAGCTGTAATGCACAGCTGTTATGCAAGAAATGCAAGAAAAGAGATTTAAACTAACTTGAATAATAACAGTGTCTGATTTTGTAGGATCCAAATCTGAAACGATTGGCATATACAGCTATTGGAAAGCTGGCAAAGTAAGTATAATAGAAGTAATAGTAGTTATTAATTATCTTATTTTGATAAAATTAGAATTATGCACCAATCAATTCAAAGCTTCAACATACCCCCCCTCCCCTCCACCCCTTTCCACGAGCATATGACCATCATCTGATCCTGGGTGGTGGGGAAATTGAACCTTACCTGGCTAGGGTCGGGAATTTGATCTAGAAATGTGAAGTCTTTCCGGGGGACTACACATGTTATCTCTTAGATGTGGAGATGCTTGATGTAAATGGTTCACTTTCAAAGAAGAGGTCCCCAAGTTGTAGTTTTTAAAGCTTGGTCAATGTGTAGGAAGTCATAGTAGCTGATTGTGCCTTTTTTAGAAAAATTTTGGATGGCGCATTTGAACACAATTTTTCCCCTGGGACTGTAAATTTAACAAACTGTTCTTCAAAAGTTCTAAAGCTGAGGTTTGCTTCTTGTAGGGGGGGGGGGGCATTTATTTTGATAAGTTTTGTCCAGTAAAAGTGGTGCTTGAAGGGTAAACATGTATTCTGTTACTTATAATTGCATAACTCTATTGGATGAATTTATCTCTGTTATCACAACCGCAGGCGCCTTCCCCAGCTATTCTGCAAAGATGTGGCACTAATTCAAAGGCTCTTCCAAGCCCTTTGTCAGGTTAGTAATTCAAAGGCTCTTCCAAGCCCTTTTTCAGGTTAGTTGGCTGTATCATGGTAACATTTATGCAGGTGACATCTTTTGTGAATTCACAGGATCACTGAGATCATTGGCTCTTCATCACTTGCATCCTCTAAAAACAAATGAAAATAATTATCTATCCTTAATAACTACTAATTTTACTATGGACTACAGACTATCATTTGGATTTCAACACATTGTTTTTCTAAATCCGTTATCAATATTTTTGTCTTGTTCTACTTGTAAGGGAACCTAATCTTACAAGTGATCATGGTTGTTTTGAGGTTTCCTTGCCATTTTTCTTTTTGTATTTGTTTCTTTATCGATTTTTGTAAATTGTAGTAATATTATATATAACTGCAAATAAAACAAATAAATGAAAGGGCGTGTAAGGTGTGTGGATGATGTGCCATGTTGTTGAGAAAGCTTAGTTCTGTATTCCTGAAGTAGTTAGTTTGGGTCATAAACTGGTCTGTTAAACGTTTACCAGGTAAATTAGCTTTCCCTCAAGCCAAACTAAACATCTAATAGAGAAGTGCATACATATGATTGTGTTTCAGGAAGAATCTGACAGTCGTCTAGCAGTCCAGGAAGCATTATCTATGATGGCACCATCATATAAAAAGGCAGATGCCACTATACTTGCTTTGATAGAAAGTCTTATACTCAGCTATGTTGAACAGGTACTTTTTATTCACGTCACACATGCAAACATATTTACATATACCAGCAAGTATCCTCATGTGGATGACACTGCACTTTGCTTAATGCACAATTCTTTCAAGTCGCTGTTATTGCATTTGATGGTGCTAAGGTTGCAACAAATATGAATAATAGCATAGAACCTGTCCATAAATTGCACCTAAGTTTCAAATGAGCTATTTACAAGGCAAAATTAAAAATTATGCAAGGACTGCAGCACGAGGTATAATATTATTATATGAGGAGAAATGAGGGAAGATATAACTATGTAACACCACTTAATTTTGCTTCAAAGCAACAAAAAGAAGAAAAGTTTAAAATAACAACGAATACAAGGACCAAGGTCCCAGTAGTTGAGGCAATCAATCACATGACCAAATCACCATTTATAACAGCCCAGTATTTACAGCTGTTGAAAAGGCTGCACTTGAATGAGCCTTAAGTACTATACCAGTATCCAACTGTAGACAAGAAAGCTACAACCATTTACTAAGGGTGTCTGAAGAAATAGGTTTGAGGTTGAATGTTAGAAAGCAACAAGCGGTTTGGTTTTGGAGTTGTCTGGGCAACACTGAAAGTTATTAGCTCAAGTTTCCTATTCCTTGAGACAGTTTACCATACGTAGCTTAGAATTGCTTGGAAAACTGGTATGAAAAGAGGTCTTGGGCTACATTGAAACTTAGATATCTATCAATTCTAGGAGATCTATGACTATTGCTTTGAAGACAAAATACCTAAATTGAGGTCACCAGCAACAATTTTCTCTCTCTCTAAGGAACAATAAAATGACAGAAGAAGTAGAAATATTTTTCCGTTATGTTTTCGTTAATCATAATTCTTTATTTTTGTATTTTTAAAAGTACTTTCTGTATAGTGCAGTATGCGTAATTTGCAATGCTTTTTTTTACTAGCATTGGACAAAATGGAAAGCTAACAGATAATTTTCAAACATTGTGACAATCTTTTAGGGCATGACGTGGTTTGCTGGCATTGTGTAGCGCTGTTAATATTTATCAAATAAAAGTCGTTAGATGTAGCATCCAGTGGATAATTCAGTGTTTATCGCTGAATAAAATCCAGGCCTTGGAGAATTTATTTTTCCGATGTCTGTGATTTTATTTCGGAGATATTCATTTTTATCGAAATTTAGAAAACTGTTTAATCACCGCAAGACAAGTTTTCAGTGAACTTTTATTTTTAGCGTATGCAATCAATGAGGTACCACATATGTATCGAAAGATGTTTTTTCGTCTTGTTACGAAGATGGGAGATACAAAAGCTACATGTATTTTGAATTTAAAAGGTACCTTTATGCACTAACAGTCTTTGCCACTGTCTTTGCCACTGTCCATTTCTTTGAATAAGGAGACACACCATGCAAGACTCGTCGCTGTGCAGTTTGCCAATGCCGTGTTCGCCAGGACACACGTTTCATCCCGCTATGTGTGTATGTTGGCTGTGGCGGATGTGTGAGTAACTTTCAAGAACCTAGTTTTCACCGCCTTAGGCGAACAGTGTTTCTCTCCCTCAGTGTGTAGCAGGCCTAAAAATATGAGCACAGTGGTTAAACGTTGGGCATGCGCAAGTGGATAAATCCTCCCTCGCAGCACGCCACACCACTGCAGTCAAAGGTTGGGCATGCGCAAGGCGATCAATTTCAACCAACCGTGCATTGATTTCCCGCGCAAAATTGACAAGGAAAAGATGAGAAACAACTGCTGTCACAAAAATATGCGAAAAAAATTGAACGTCCGTAGAAATCTGTTAAAGGAAACAACAATAGGAAAAAGACAAACCCGAGCCTTTTTTTTTTTTTTTTTTTTTTTATCATCAAAACAGCAGTACGATTTTACACGTACTAGGCGCCTTGACTTTCCAGCTCAGTTGTGTGTATGGTTATAACTCTAAGATGACACCTTGGGTTTGAAAACCTAAAAATTCGCCACCTCGCCAATATAACGTTTGCACATTTGCAGTCGTTTGACCGCACAAGATTTCAAGGATAGCTTGCGAAGCAGCCGCTGTCGTGCAAAGCACGCGAACGGAAATGAAATATTCAAAAAAAAATCGCGAAAAGGAATAGAAGTCAGGAATAGGAGAACTATTTAAAGAATTTTTTAATTTCGGGTGAATTGTTTTACCATGTTTTAAGCTTTGTCAAAAAAATTTGCACGCTCTAAAACACAGTGGCTCAGTTACTTGCCTGTATGGTTGTTTAAAACTCTGGTGAGACGACTTCGCTCATGCGCGGACGTTTGACCGCTGTGTTAAAAAAAATGCCATAATCGTAGGAAAGATGATGTTAAAGAAGAAGCAAGAAGAGGATTAAGGGGGACACAAGTGGCTGGTAATGCACTTAGTGAGGGTAGCAGTGGAAGCAAAGATGAACTTCCTTCCTTCTCAGAGATGGTGTCGTTCGTGGCTCAAAAGGTACCTGCAGTAGATGCTTCTCACAATTAAATTCATATTGTGCGATGTAACTTGGTAGAAAAAGGCTTTTGATCAGCAGTTTTTTCTGTTTATACGTGAAAATTTTGTCTTATTTGCATCGCCTCAAGCATGCATCGATATCTAACTTTAACGGCTGCTGACTTAAGTGCACAGTCCGTAATGTGAACGCATACTTTTCCAATTGCAGAGTCTGGAAAGATTGAGAAGCAAGAATTGCTACACAGCAGGAACAACTGCGTTGCCGTTTGCTCCGCTAGTATTTTCACAGGTACTCTTAAACTAACGTGCATAAGAGAGACAATCGTGACGTCACACTTTAAAATTAATATGGAGAACCTTAATCGGCACAGACGTTTTTGATAATTGGACGATAGCAGGACAATCAGAGTTATTTCCTTGGGTGCAAAGCGCAAATCTTTTGCTCTTTTTGCGTTCCAGCTGATTCTATGTTTTCAGTAGGAAAAAAAAGTTGCATTCGCCTTCTGGTCGCTATCAGTGTGTCATCAGCAAGATCCTTTCAAGCAGATCAAGGGCGTAGCTGGTCCAACGTCAAGAAGAATCTTGTGTTTAAAACTCCTGTCCCTTTGTTGCATGACAATCTTAACCACAGTATTCCTGAGCCTGAGGCGAATAATTGCTTTAGAACACCAGATTCTCGTAACGTATTTACAAAGAAATGTGTAGCAGCCAGGGAGGAGAATTGACAATCAAATCTTGGGAATTAAAGGGTTAAGACTACACTAATGACTCCAAATGGCCAGGCACGTTGTGTTCAGGGATGTTGAATAATCCCCTGCACTTCGTCTCGAGGATTATTCAACAATACTCGCTGAGCCTGAGGAAAAAAGTTGTTTTAGTATAGGTGCTCAGGTGCTTTCGAATTCTGTTGTAAATCCATTTTGTTGTTGAAACCATTCTGTCACAATTGGTTTGATTATTTGTATCGAAACGAGCAGTCAGTTTCCACTAGAGTTTAAAAAAATTTATACAGCGAAAATTTCATATCTTCATATCTTTTTGTTACATCAAACTAAGTAGCATCGATTGTGCTCTTCGGAATTGAAATTTCCTCTATCGCGTTTATCACTTCCTTGGTAACATGGAGATAACGTAAGGCAGCCATTTTGAAATTTAGCGCCCCTGCTTTCATCACCTCGCACGAGGTTATTCTAGCGAGAAATGATGCAATCCTCGACCAATCAGAGCGGATCAACGGAGTAATTATTTTGAGTACTTTCATTACCTGTTTTCTGGATCTCTATATCTTTTTGTGCCATAAGGCACATAAGGCTTTGACATTCTCTTTCCATCCACTTCGATTTGTTGCTAAAGTTCTAACAGTCATCCATGATTGCCACCCAGCTATTCGTCTTTCGTCTTCAATCAGTCTCCTCCATATTGTTTTTGGTCGACCCGGTCTTCTTCTCCCTTCTGGCCTCCATTCTAGTGCTGTAACACAGTGCTCCTCTCTGTTCTTCCTCATTACATGTCTGATCCAATTTTGTCTTCGGCGTCTGATCTCATCACTTGTTCTGTTCACTCCTTTGGTCTCCTGGATTTGTTGGTGTGAGATGGTCTGTGGCCATCTTATTTTCAGTATGCGCTTCATCCATTTGTATTGGAAAGCGTCTAGCTTCTTTGCTTCTGTTTTCGTGAGTTTCCAAGCTTCACAGCCATACATCCGCAAAACTGCTCTTACAATTGTTTTGAACAATTGGACTCTCGTCTTTCTGCTAATTTCGCCACTGTCCCAAATTCTTCGCTGTTTTGTGTGGATAATGTTTGGATATTTCAGGGAGAAGTAGCTTGTTAAGCACTTTTGGGTGTTAAAGGGCCATTTGGTTTAAGAGTTTCACTTTGTGGCATTTTATTTTAGGTGTTACTGTATTTGCAAAAATGTCTGGAATATGCAGCTGGCGTGACGGAAGAGGACCGGATCAAAAACTGCATTCTTCCATCTGTCGCACAATATGTGAAGAAACTCCTTGAAGATGTTCCGTCAGAAGGTATACACCTTGTTCTGTGATTGGTCTAGAAATTTAGCGCCAACCTGTCAACCAATCAGATGTATAAGTGAAACCAATTCGCTACATGGTCATTTACCTTTTTCCGTACCTCAGGCAGGTTTTCGTGAAGTTCTCAGAGACTCCATTTGTTAGTTTTCTTTCTTCTGCATGGCTATTATAGTTATTGTCTTGGATTTCACGAAACTCGGTGAAGATGCGGTGTTAGACCTTTGCACCTCTGTGTTGTACAGATCGTATTGTGGTTATTACTCATACGATTTCTGGACTCTGATTGTAGACTTCCAGTCAAGTGCCGTGGGAAAGTACATAGACCTTGTGAAACAGGCCCTCCAACCAATAGGAGGTATGTTTAGTCAATTTCTCTTTGATGATAAATAAGAAGTTATATGTTACATTTAAAGGAGAGGAATGTTCTGGGAGCCACATTATTTTCATATCTTTCATGAAAAATGCAAAAAAATGAAATTACAACACTGACCGCGATGTGGGATTCTAAAGAGTGTTTTAACATTACGAAATTATGTTCATCCAAGTCAAGTCAACTAGCTCTGCGCAAGTTCAGCACGCATTGATTTATCATAGTGTTAACCAACCATCACAATACTGATATCAGTTAAACCAACCAAACAAACCAAAAAAAAAAAGGCAAAACAAAATACAAAAACAGAACTACCAAGAGTTGTACAATCAGAGAAGATTGAAGAGACTGCGATACGCTTAACTAACTTCTTCCACGTTTGTTCTTACAGTGACTTTTTAAATTTAATTTAATTTAAATTTTGTTGTTGTTGTTGTGGTTGCTTTGTCTTTTTTAGGAGCTGATCTTCACGCTGTGGCTCTTTGTTGTCTTCTGCAAGTTGTATCTGTTGCACCAAATCAATTGGCAGGAATGTTTCATGGAAAACTCGACTGGATCAAGGTAAGTTTGGTTTCAGCGTAATGGTTTGATATACCGACGGTATGTTACCGCTGGAAACACCTCGTACTGTCGTCTGTTAACCTTGCGAGTGTTCGAGTGTGTGGGTTTTGCCTTACGGCCCCTTTTCCGGGTACAGCCGCCTATTATAGCCGCTTATGGAAAAAGTTATTGAAACCGCTTCTTCGTGAACGTGGTTAAAGAATTCTACAGAGTTGACAGAGAGGTTCAGGAGCTTTCTGAGCCAGTTCCTTATGCTGGCTTTACATTTATCCACGCAAGGCCTGTTCGTGGTGTAAGTGTTTAAAAGAAACTCGAGGGTCACAGTTTTCGTTGTTAGCATCAGTAGCACTTGAACCTTTTATGTTAATCAATTTGCATTTTGTTTTGTTTTTGTAGAGTTTTACATTTTCAAGTAGAGAGGACGCCCGTCAGTATGCTGGTCAGTTATTGGCAGTAGTTACCTGTACAATGGCTGAAGAATCTTTCCTGAATGTGGTTAGGGAACTGTCTGCGGCACTTGATAGTGAGGTGAGTGTAACAGAAGGTTCAATCAGGGAATTGCACGTTCTTATATAAAAACTGATCTTGCCAAACTACTCTCTATGCTTTCAGCTGTTTGAGATGCAGCTTGGTTCAGTGAGCACACTGGGTTTCGTCATAGCGAGACATCTTTACCAGAATGCCTTAAAAGCAGCAGGCAAGCAAGACTTGATGTTAGAAGACATGGAGGTTAACGACTCCGGGAATGTTGCATCTGTAGCTACGGAAGAGGAGCTTCTGACAAGCAGTGTGGAAAAACTAGGTTTAGTACATTTTTGTTTGGTATTTACGCTACAGTGTTCGTTATTTGCCATTTGCTAGATTTTCGACGACAAAAAAGATGTCCATTGTTCAATGTCCCTTAAACCTTTTGAAATCTTGACAGTGGCACTTGTGAACTTTGTCTATATTATAGTTAATCGTGTTTGAAAAGTCTTCCCTAGAAAAATTTCCTTGCTCAATATCGGGATTCTCAGATTAGGTATACGGGGACTTCCAAGCCAAATTTGTCTGTGAAAAAGCACTAAATTTCCCCGTAATACTTTCTAGGACCTTACCATGAATGTCCTTCCTCTTCCTAGTTGACCCTCGATACGTAGACTGTTCCAGATGACGGTTTCTTGGACTTAATTTTTGTTCTCATTTATAAATCTTTTCTATCTTACCGAACTGATATCTTTAGGTCTTCTTGAAAATGATAACAGTTAGTGAAATGTTTTTGTAGCTTGTAGATATAATTTGTTTTTGTTACCTTGATATTGAAATAGAATATTCCTATGTTGTGTTGGCAGTGAAACTCCTGAACAGTAGAAATGCATTGATAAGTTGTTCTGCTTGTCATTCTATTGGCGAGATTGGTCGAAATGGACCGCTTCCTCTTCCTGCTGGAATCGAAACGATGGAGCAAGGTTGGGAGATCTATTATTATTCCTTTCCTTACTTGAAGCTTGTCACACCTGATCCTAGCTGTGTATAGAAAGCTTGTCACAAATGAAGCTGCTACAATGATTGGAAAAAGTCTTAGAACGCAGTAGCACCTTTTAAATTTTTTTTATATCTTTCATTTGTCTCCCCCTCTACCCATTTCAAAACAAAACGGTGACTAATTTCTTGTTAGAAAATACTCAATAATTCTGGCATTGTTTGGGAGAACGGGAAGACTTTTGAGTAACTTATTAGGGATGGATTACAAAATTGCTGTTTATTATTATATTGAATGGTGCGTTGTCGACCACCTACCAAGGAGAGGCGTGCCAACTACTTCTACCAATCATTGTAGGTCATGCATGGCCCACCTCACCACCAAAGTGTCTTTGGTACAGTTACGAGAGTATCCGCTGTCCAAATCAGAACCACCCGGCGTGGGACTCGATTTATGTTTGTCGTATAAGTAAAGTCTGTCACTACGCGGGTTATAAGATCACAACTCACAGTAACCTTTGATGTTCACATTCGGCATCAGTCATGCGCATGATGCCGATCAATTCCCATGATGAAATCCTGCTAAAGATATGACACACTATGCCATGCTTGTCACAGACCTTTCAAATATTTCTCATGGCTTGAGTATTTCCCGTCCTAGGCCCAGTTGTTTACAGGTCAGATAACGTTATCCAACTGATAATTAGCCATCCGGTGGATAAGTGGTAGCAAAATGTATAGCGTTATCTACCGGATTGAGTTTGATCCAGTGGAAAGCGTTATCCAACTTTCGGACAACCAGGGCCTCGCTGATAAGTAGTACAGCAACCTCAAAAAATGTCTGAGTACTTCTTGAGATGGTTGCTACTCTATAAGGGAATTGTTTGAGAATTTTGCTTGTGTTTGATATTTAGATGAAGCCACTGGGTCATCAGGTACAGAAGATCATGTAAGCAAGTTGTCAGTAGTTGAAAAATTGCTCGACACGTTGGAGAACTCAAAGGAGAATAAGGTACTTCAGTCAATTTTGTGATGATTCTTTTCGGAACAATATCATAACATGAATTGATTCACTTATCAAATTATCCTACCTTGCTTTCTGGAGCAGCGTTTTGTTTTTATTCTGTTTGTTTGTTTGTTTGTTTGTTTTGATCCTCTGGTCATTAGCTAGCAAGGGGAAAAAATGTGCGTTATTGACCAAGCGTAAGATCGAGATGGCTGGATATGGGCTGAGTTCTTTTTTTTGTGTTTCTTACGTTTTGCGTTATGGACCGAGACGAAGTCATGATCATAAAAACGCATAAACAGGTAGGTGGTTAATATCCAGCCATCTTCAACGAACAAGCTTGGTCAATAACGTTTTTTTGCCTCGGTTACATGTCGCAATGCACATTTTTTTCCCTCGCTACTGACCAGAGGGTGAATCATTTCGCGAAAAAAAAACAAAAAAACGAAAAAGCAAAAAAACAAAAACAAAAAAAAAACACGAAACCACGAGTCGTTTATGTTCTCTATGTTGTGACTGTCTTTTACGTCTTTCTACAACTCTATCTCCGACATTGTTCATTGATTACGAACTTTTGTAAGTCCGCTTCACACAATGTTTTTCTATCGCGGAATCAAAGCGGGAAATCCTGAGTGGGAAAGATTGGCCCATCTTGCCCGCTTGGGTAGCCAATCAGAACACAGAATTTGCTTCATATTGCCCATGGGCTCTACCATCGATATGATAAATGTGATTATTGACTAGCGGATTGATGGACTTTTGACAGGTCAAGGAACAAGCCGCCCATGCCCTTGGTTTTCTTTTGGTTGGAGATGAGAATTTCCCGCATCATGAGAAACTGATTGACGGCTTGTGTGGAGCTTCCAAGGTGCTGCCAACTTCAAGCATATGATCAATTACACCTAGAATTTTGAACGCTGAGATCGTCTCAAACAAGTTACAAATGCACTCCTAGTTGATATCGACCCAATAGAGCCTCTTTCATTTGGGTGTCGAAAAAAATCTGGGATTCAACTGGTTTTACTCAACATCGCACTATGATTGGTCGAGAAAACTCACGCTGCTCTTTCAGCCAATCAGATGCAAAACTTTAACTAATCAAATGAATAAAGGCTAATAGTTTCGAAAGAAACTGTTTGGGGCTGCGTCGGTGGGAGTAACGAAATAATTTGGATATATCAACAAAGTTGAAATGGTAAATTGGCCACCGTAATGATTACAAAAGCTGACGTTTCGAGCGTTAGCCCTTCGTCGGAGCGAATAGAGGAATTGTGGGTTGTGTGTGCTTTTAAAGGCAGAAAATGGAGCTACGTTATTGGTGGGTGCATGGCAACGAGAAAAACATGAATAAATTAGTGGAATGAAAAGCGTTCATTGATCCCTGTGGGATTTAGACTGCCGGTTTGAAAGATGAGCTTTTGTTCAAGATTTTTACGGCTTTCCGTGCCACCTAAGTGCAAGGAAAGACCGCAGATTGCCATATGTTGCTTAGAATGATTTCGAATGAAATCATTCTAAGCAACATATGGCAATCTGCGGTCTTTCCTTGCACTTAGGTGGCACGGAAAGCCGTAAAAATCTTGAACAAAAGCTCATCTTTCAAACCGGCAGTCTAAATCCCACAGGGATCAATGAACGCTTTTCATTCCACTAATTTATTCATGTTTTTCTCGTTGCCATGCACCCACCAATAACGTAGCTCCATTTTCTGCCTTTAAAAGCACACACAACCCACAATTCCTCTATTCGCTCCGACGAAGGGCTAACGCTCGAAACGTCAGCTTTTGTAATCATTACGGTGGCCAATTTACCATTTCAACTTTGTTGATATATCCAAATTATTTAACTAATCAAGACTGATACGCCCGCCTTGCATTGCGATTGAGGCATTTTTGTTGTTTTTCGTTGAGTTCTCATAGACTCTTTGGGGGTATTTTCCTTTTTTCTGATTGGCAATAGTGATCACTTCGTTTTACGGCTCTCAATAACAAAGCTTTCTAACAGTAAGACATTACTAACCAGTCTATTATCTCCTTATTAAGCAGATCCGACAAGTAGAGGTGCAGTTCACAATAGGGGAGGCCCTGTCATGTGTAGGGGCAGGTAGAACGTCAGAGGTTGCCCGTGATCCTTGGGTAGTGGAACAACTTCCAAGTGCTGCTTGTGATAAGAAAGATGGGATCATGCAGGAACTCACTGAAAAGATTGTCAACAAATATGCAACCAGTCCAACCCCATACGTCAGACAAGTATGTTTCTTTTGATCTACCATTAGATTTGTTCAAAACTTAGTCTGTCGCTGAGTGACGCTGCTCGAAAAAAAAGGTTGAAGTCACGGAGAGTAATTACCGAGTGTGGCATTCTTGAGTAGGTATGAAAATCCACAAACTTGTTTTTCTGACCAAAGAAATTAAGAATGCGGTGGAAGTAGAGTTGCATTTTGTCCACTGATGCATTAAAATCTATGATTATAGAAATTGATATGATCCTGAAAGCTATTCCCTGCCTCAACAATACAGCAATTTTCAACGTATTGTTGGAAGAAACCCGAAATTGCATTAGCTCTTCTTCCTTGCGTTCTAAGATTGGCAGGAGTAGAAATTTCGGTATTTCCTTTGCACCTATCGGATGCAGAACTCGACTCCCAGGCACCAAATGTCTCTCCTTTCCCTCTCAATGTCGGTCTGTAAAAGTGCCTTAACACTTTGGCTATTAACAACATTAGAAGAGGAGAACGGTAAAAGAACTTTATAGACGTTGTTTTGGAGAAGTGTCCCAACTAATTATGTGTGGGAGTGTAGATCTAAAATCACGCAGTTGTCTCTTGTTGAAAGCAGTTTCTTCCTTTTTAATTTGACTTCTCGTCGTCTATTTGTATATCACTTTATACCGTTTGGACTTTGTGATTTCATTGTGTTTAGCTTGACGAAACTCTCTCTATCATAACCGCAATTTTCTCTTTCAGGCCTCTTGCATTTGGTTGCTGTCACTTGTGAAGTATTCCGGGAATCACAAAGTTGTTCAGGTTTGGCCGTTTATTCCAGTGCTGAGGATAATGATTCTCTGAATGCTTGTGAAGGATTTTCTTTAGGCTTTTAGAAAGGTCAAGAAATGAAACTCTAATTCGGCTAGTCTTAGATGTATTCTTTTAAAGACTCAATAATAATCAACATTTTTCTTACAGGCAAAGCTTAAAGAAATCCAGATAGTATTCATGAATATGTTGGCAGAAACCGACGGTATGACTTAGCGTTTAACACTTAGATGTGTCACAAATCTGATTTCTTAACCCTTAACACCCTAGCATCAGTATGCATATTCTCCATACTGTTCTCTATACATTTCTTAAGGTGCTGATTGGGAGAATTTGTTTAACAATCATAGCTTCTTTAGTAGGTGATCATTTCCTTTATTCTCCTGACCTTAATGTGTGGCTCAGGGATGATATTGTAAGGAGAAATTAGATGTTAGTCACTCTTAGAGTTAAAGGATTTAACCAATCAGTTAGTTTCCTTTGTTGCCATCGCCATGACGTAAAATAAAACGATTGAAAAGACATCGAACTTTAGTCTTCCCATATCACGACGTAATAGCTTAGCGGCCAATGTTAGTTTCCACATCACCCAGAATTAGAGAAAACACCAAGATCAAACTTATGACAAAACTTCTTTAAGAGAAACGCAAGAGCTATTCACGAAAAAGATATTAGTAAAGAAAGCATTGAAACAGGTGATTCGTTTTCCCTTGAATATATATCTATCTATATATCTATCTATCTATCTATCTATCTATCTATCTATCTATCTACCTACCTACCTACCTACCGATCTACCTACCTACCTACCTATCTATCTACCTATCTACCTACCTATCTATCTACCTACCTATCTATCTATCTATCTACCTACCTATCTATCTATCTATCTATCTATCTATCTATCTATCTACCTNTTATTCCAAGAATCGTCAAAAACTGTTACTTGTGTCTCGTGAATTGTTGTTTTAGTAATAAACGCAAGTAATAAACGCATTTTTTATTTTATTTTCAGACCTCACTCAAGAAGTAGCTTCAAAAGGTCTGGGTCTCGTATACGAACATGGCGACGGGGAGAGCAAACAGGAGCTTGTATTTTTATTGGTCGATACGCTGATGAATGGCAGAAGGTGAGCACTTAACCGAGAAACTAATTAACGTAAAAGCTCTGAACTGATACTGAAATGAAAGGAGCTACAGGCATTAGATGACGATTTGTGCATCTTGATTAATGCAACCTAAATTTTCGAGTGGATCATTTTCAATCCGTTTTCATCTCCACCATACTCAAGTTTTGCCACTGAAATAAAATTCATAAGAATTAACTATATGGCACTTTTTGAGATTCCACTGAGATACACAACTGTTCAAAAAAATTAATTAAATAAAATTAAAGTTTAATCATTGGAATCAGTGGTATAGCTCAGTTGCTTGTTCACACCAAGAGATAGAAGTGACAGGATTAAGACTTCGCTACATCACAGAAGAACAGATGACGTTAAAGAAATGAAACTAGAAACGGATGAAAAGAAATAATCGTATAAACTAATCCTATGAGGACAACAAGAGCAACAACAACAAATTCCTTTTCCTGCGGGAAGATTGCTATATTTTATTTTCCATCACCAGTAAATCTACGCGTTCTCCCCCTTTCTGCGACTTCTTGTTACCCCCTTTCTTTCATTCGTTTCATACGTGTCGAGGTGATTGGGGATGGCGCATTGGTGAGAGCGCTCGCCTCTCATCATTGGGGCCTGGGCTCGATTCCCGCACCTGGTGTCACATGTGGGTTGAGTTTGTCGTTAGTTCTCTTCTTTGCTCCTAAGGATTATTCCGGGTCCTCCGGTTCTCCTCACTCCACAAAATCCCTAGTTCTAAATTCCAATTCGACCTGGAAACAGTGGACAAGAAAAAGCTACCTCATGGAATGTCAACCGCTAATCCCAATATTCTTCTTATTATTATTTTTGCTATTTTTGTTATTATTATTATTATTATTATTATTATTATTATTACTATTGTTATTATTACTTTTATTGTTATCACTATGATGATTATTATCATTACTATTTAGGTGTTCTCCCACTTTTGATTTCTGCAAGCTCCTCAAACGTCAGAGGAACAGCAAGTGTTTTGTGTTGTCCTTGTTATTTATTTCCTTGTCAAATTATTTTGTTTTCGTTTCAGGCCAACCCAGCATCTTACCGGTGACACCAAGTCTCCTGAAGGGTAGGGGCTGTCTTGTGCCATTGACAATGATTTTGAAGGCTCGATTACCAGCCACTGATCGGGAACCGAAGCCCGCGCTCCTCCTCCTCTCTTCTCGGGAAGGAACGAAAAAGACCGGACTCGAGAGAGCGACGGAAATCGAGCCAAATTTTGATATCGTCACTCTGTTTAACTGTGGAAGTTTTGGTGGTCGTAAAACACGTTGGCTCATCTCGAGTTAACCAGTGTTCTCCATATGAACCAAAATGAATGCATTTGAATGCAAATTGTCCAAAAGCTTTCACCGCACTTAAAATTGTCCGAGGTGGAACTAGCTTTCAAAGTCGTTCGTTGGGGACGTGTATTTCTTGAATTGCCTCACTCGATATAGAGGTTTTGCACAGCTGCCATGTTGGATGGCAGGAACAATAGATTATTTTACCCTTGAGAAAAAATGTCTTTCTTATGCAAAATATTTTCATTGTTCCTGTCATACAACATGGCTGCTGTGCAAAACCTCTGTTGGTTGGGTGGATTTAGCGAACGGATTCGAGCAGAGAGTGATACTGGAGAGGGAGACTAGCTGGGTAGTTTTAAAGTGCACCTAAACCCAAAAATTTTTTTTTCGCTTAACGAAATAAGCTTATTTTTTTGAAGTATTTCTGTGCAAAAATATTTTAATTTGCTCAAATCTTTAATTTTCTGTGCCCAGTCAAAATACGGAAAATCGGCCGCCATCTTGCCCCACGGCCGAGTTTAAAGAGGATTGGCTCTAGCGGGTAATGTGACTCAAATCGAGAACAAGAAAGTCTGCATTTCACACATTTTCACTTGTTTGGGAAGGTTGTCGTCGGTATTGTCCGAAATATGCCGACTAGGTGTGTTGTATGAGGAATGTATGAAGCCCGATTCCCTCTTGCAAATTTCGCACGTTGCTACCTCCTCCTTCAACACACTTAGTCGGCATATTTTCGGACAATATCGACTACAACCTTCGCAAACAAGTGAAAATGTGTGAAATGCAGACTTTCGTGTTCTCGATTTGACGTCACATTACCCGCTAGAGCCATTCCTCTTTAAACTCGGTCGTGGGGCAAGATGGCGGCCGATTTTCCGTATTTTGACTGGGCACAGAAAATTAAAGATTTGAGCAAATTAAAATATTTTTGCACAGAAATACT